GATTCGCCCAACTTTCGATTCGCCCAACTTTCGATTCGCCCAACTTTCGATTCGCCCAACTCTCGATTCGCCCAACTTTTGATTCGCCCAGCTTTCGATTCGCCCAGCTTTTGATTCGCCCAGCTTTCGATTCGCCACAAATTCGATTCGCCACAAATTCGATTCGCCACAAATTCGATTCACCCAAATGTCGATTGACCCAAATTTCGATTGACCCAAATTTCGATTGACCCAAATTTCGATCGACCCGAATTTCGGCGTAATGTAAGGAAGGAAAATATTCTTTTCTGCATAAGAAAGGAGACCAACTTTTCCAAACTACCCAAACTAACCTAACCTACCTAACTCGGCCTAAATGGAAGTTCTTCCTAGAAATTATATTTTTCGCATACTTAATGACTTGAGAGACTTCTTTTTTAAAACAATCTAACCTTACCCTAGCCTAAATGAACCTTCCTAAAAAGTATATTTTTTGAAAAATTACTTGAAAGAGCTAATGAGACCCCTTTGTTTAAATAATCTAACTTGACTCGTTCAAATGAACCCTCATCCTAGAATGTGTATTCATTTTACAACAATCGAAAATTGGGTGAATCGAACATTGGGTGAATCGAAAATTGGGCGAATCGAAAATTTGGCGGATCGAGAATTGGGTGAATCGAAAATTGAGTGAATTTAAAATTGGGGGAATCGAAAATTGGGGGAATCGAAAATTTGGCGGATCGAAAATTGGGTAAATCGAAAATTGAGTGAATTAAAAATTGGGGCAATCGAAACTTGGGTGAATCAAAAATTTGGTGGATCAAAAATTGGGCGAATCGAAAATTGGGCGAATTGAAAATTGGATGAAACGAAATGTTGGCCCAACGACATATTTGAATGTGAAATGATTGTTGATAATTCCCGTTTCATTGAATCATCTGAGGAAATGTGGCATCATTAGACAACAACGCATCTTTCGGGTATGTTCGGAGAAAATTGGGTGAATCAAAATTGGGTGAATCGAAAATTGGGCGAATCGAAAATTGGGTCAAACGAGACGTTCCCTAAAAAAGAGGTTTCTATGCGAATACAGTTTGGACACCAATGTTCAGAAGGAGATAACATGTCATTCAAAACGAAAAATGTCCCAATTGGACAAGTAGTTCTGACGAAAATGTATCTTGAAACTTTTTGCTGATTTTTGCTGGTGTATTAATTTCTTGGGGAAGTGTATTTCAAATATCCTACTAGAATCCTTTCGACTGAACTGGTCAACATTGATAACGTCGTGCTCCAAAATATAGCCTGAATTCAAAGTAGAATAACTCACGAATTTCCTCACCAATTTGGAATCGGTTTTCACCGATGATTAGCCTAATCTCTTGACAGTTTGTTGTGGCAATATGAAACTTCTGTAATTTCAGATAACATTGCTACAGGGTGATAATTGAATGGGTGTAAAATTGCATCGTGGTCGTCACCTTACCGTTTGAACAGATAATTTTTTTTATTTTTTTTTCTCACCTGTATCCTCTTGATTGATGCTTTCTCTCGAATTGTTTTCGGAATTTTCAAATTCAGAGCTTTGATAATCGTGTTATGAATATTCATTCAGAATGATGCATTTTTTCGACGATTAATTGAATGAAATTGAAAGTTGGAATTCTTCTCCGAAGAATCAACGTTGTATATATAGTCGTCGGATATATGATCGTGTTCGAACACAGAAAATTCTGAAAAAGTCTATACAAGAAATACTGAATGATGGAATGGAGAATAACGTAGTCTTCAGTAGATGAAACATAATTTTCTCTGTGTTACTAGTGGAATAATGGAGTGTTACTTCGTCATGAGGATGTCTGGTGTCTGGTCTGGTTTTGTAATTTCTTGGATCGAAGGTCATATAATGAAAGTACATTTTTAATCGAAATGATGCATTGTCGTTAAGATAAATCATAAAATTCAAAAAATTACGATTGTTGATCCAAAAGTATGAAATTCATATGTATTCTTGACGATCACATTGGAATCAAAATGTAGCACTCAAACTACCATTGGAGCAAAAAACATATTTGAAAAACCTCCCAACCCTTCAGAAGTTAACTAGGGCTAGGGAGGTGGACACTTTAAGGACAGGTGTACATTGTACAGGGTCTTTCACGACGATCTGAGTCGATATGTATATCCGAAGCTACTGAGACTAGTTTCCTGAAATGTTTTGTACAAGTGTTTTCCAAAGTGCTTGTTACTTAACAAATCAACTAAAATATTTGCAGTTCTCTGCAAATTCGGGTAGTACCGGAAATTAAGTTGACCACAACTTTGTATTTTTTAATGGAACGTACCATTTTTTATAGAATTTTTGAAATCTTCAGCGTAGATTCCAATGTATTTCATTTAGAATATCATATATCTAAAAAGGGTGATCATCACCTAACAGAAAACAACTTACAGGCCTGCTCTAGTACCATCGGGACTTTCTAAGCTCTGAATATGCCTTTCTTCACAGACTTCTTAATTTCTTCAAGAAAATTGAAATTATATCTGATAATCAGCATTGTTTTACTTAGAAAAAATCAACATCCTTAGCAATCCAAGCATACTAATCGGAAATAGCTAACTATGTAGACGTAGGCGAGTGCCCTGTAGGAATCTTCATAGACCTGAGTAAAGCATTCGACTGCGTATGTCATGAAATTCTTGTCAATAAACTGTACAGATAGGGAATAAGAGGAATCGCTCTTGTATGGATATCCAGTTATATCTATCAAATCGGCCACAATGATGAATGTCTTACCTGGAATAAGCACTGTGAATACATTGTAAAAAAAATAATGTTATAAATGTTCAACTCAGGACTCTGAGAAGTACTTTGGATTTAAATCAGTTGTGCAGTCTCTTGGCTTCGCGTATCCGTTATGGTATATGTTTCTGGGGGTCATCTACATCAGCAAAGGATATTTATATGGGCATTCAGAGAATGGATTCCTGCAAGCCTTTTTTCATAAGGTTGAAGATATTGACGCTGCCCTGCCTCCTTATATTTGAATTATGTATCTATATATTTCTAAACAAGCAACTGTTTGTTTGCAACAGTGATATACATGATATGAATACTCGCTCGAGGAACGAATTCTATATTCAACCAAGCAGAACAAATATTTTGAGTAATACACCAAATATCCTAGGTCCTAAAATATTAAATAACTTACCTGAATATTTGAAAAACGCAAAAAATGTATGGTCTTTCAAAAAATGCTTGGAATCATTTCTAATCGCTTAATGAATATTTTCATAATTGACCATCCAACTACCTAATAAAAATTGTATATACAGGATCAAGTCATGGATCAAAAGAAGTGGGGTGGTAGGGGGGGTTATTTCCAATCAAACTAACCGTATAATGTGGTTATCCTATTGTTGATGGTTCAAAAGTTATTAATGTATTTTCATTCCTATAAAAAGAATTGATTACAATAAAACTATGTCACATTTTTAATTTTTTCTTTTACAAATGTCATCCACATGGATGCACCTCTCCCCAGAAATAATCTTATGACATCTTCTTCTTCTTCTTCTTCGAAGCACTGGTGGGCGGGAGAACCCCCTGCACGTGGGCCTCCTTATTCGGGCCCATTGTGCGCCCACATGTTACGACATTCAGCTGGGTATGCCGACTGCCTTGGAGAAGTTCAGCAGCTTCCTCAGCTGAATCTCTTTTACATCCTCTGGCCTCAAAATTATGTTGCCAAGGACAGCCCTCCTCTGATGCGTCAGTGCTGGACACTCAGTGAGGCCATGTAATGACGTTTCGTCATCTTCCAGGCACCATCTGCAAAGGGGGTCATCCTTGATCCCAATGAGCTCTAGGTGCCTATTGAGGTGATTGTGCCCCGTTAGGAGCCCCACTACCATTTTAAGGTTTCGCCTGTTTAGGAATAAAACCTCTTTTGCGAGCCTCTTCGAATGTTCCTTTATGTGGAGCTTCGATTGTCTCATTCCTGGTGTGTCCTGCCATATTTTGAGGAATTGCTTTTGCAGCTGTTCCTCTATAGAGGACATTGCCAGGCTATTTGGTATTCCCAAGATTGGTTCCGGTCCGACCGAGGTCCGTCCTGAACCGATCTTTGCCAGTCTGTCTGCCTCCTCGTTTCCGGGTATTCCCGAATGTCCCGGGACCCACATGAGGCTGACTTTTCTTGATTTTGCCAGGACACAGGTGAGTATTGCATCTTATGACATGTATTACTTATAATTAATTACCTGAGAAAAAAATTGTTTTCCTCGAGTTTTGTCATCAAATGAAATATTCAAGTCGATTTTTAGATGCCGCTGGCAGATTTAAAAACTACCCCATTCAATACAGATTCCGAAATGGTATAACATATGAGGTTATTGAAAACAGCCTTTTTGTTATTATTTTTTTTTTCAAATGGGTCGCATCTTTCAGAAAAATTGAATAACTTTTGAACCATCAACAATTCGATAACAACATATACCGTTAGTTTGATTACAAATGACCCTCCCTACCACCCCACTTCTTTTGATCCAATACTTATGGGACACCCTGTATAATGCTTCTCTCTTATATATAATGTTCGTCTATCATATTATGTTATCTGTCATTTATCTAGTTTATTGATTTATATTTTTGTAACAACCTGACTATTTCTATACTTTTTTAGAGAGTCTTAAGGAAAATAAAGATATTTATTTATTTATATTGAACGTGAAAATTTCTTGATACTAGTCCCAAGATCTTGGAAACCAGCAATTTTGAGCGGCATATCAGCCCAACAAAAGATGACACTGTATATATGGTGGCACATACAATTATCCATTATACAACCAACGAAAAAAAAAATAGTGTAAAAATTAGTATTGGAATATTCCATAATCATAATTAGAGAAATTCCATCATATTCTCTAAAGTCTGACAAATAGTTAACTTCAGTAGTATTTTTCAAATTCAAATGGAATACTCTCAATATCATATTTTTATGTGACATAATTTCCAGATGATGAGAAAGATAATGAACAGACTGCCCTGCAGAATGGACATTTTGAAAACGGTGAGATAATGTTCAGTTAATGTTGAAATACTATATTTAAAAATTATATCATTCAGAAAATAAACTTGCCAAAGATGAAGAAGAAAAGGAAAAAGATGAAGCCGAAGATAATAAAACCAAAGATGACGTAGTCTACTTGCAGGATGTCGGATTTTCTGTTAAAATTATGAGTCCTGGGGCTGATCCTTTCGATATTCAGGCACGTATAACAATCACATCCAATTATTCCCGACTCTAAAAAATAACTTTTTCTTCATGCGGTATAGAAAAGTGGCTTTTTTATGACACTCAACAGGCAGGAAAGGTGTACTTTCTCTGCCTAGACAGAAATAGTTTGTTGCTATGAAACGTTACAAGAAATTTGCTGCACCTCGTCGTTAAAAAAATCAGTTCTAGATCACCAAAGTAGCATTTCACACACTAGATACAAAAATAACTATGGTGTAATTTTTTAATGCAAATTCCCATCATTTCATGTTCACCCAATGTCAGTGTCAATTTTGATCACCAATTTTATTTAAATTTCTTGGAACGTTGCATAGCATCACTTTTTTTCCTGCCTAGGCAGATAAAGTACACCTTTCCTGCCTATTAAGTGTCAGAGAAAAGCCACTTTTCCTGCAGCTTGGAGAAAAAATGATATCTTCCACACGGCAGAAAATGTAGATTGACTGCCTTTGTTGAATACCTAGTCGCGTCAGTCAATCAACTACTTCGCTGCCTAGTAAAACAAATAACTATTACAGGTATCGAGCATGGAACTAGTTCAAGAGATTCACCAACTGCTCATGGATCGCGAAGACACCTGTCACAGAACGTGCTTCTCTCTCCAACTGAAGGGCAACACCTTGGACAACTTCGCAGAGTTCAAAAACATCGAGGGCCTGCAAGAAGGATCCGTCATAAAAGTGGTGGAGGAGCCTTACACGATGCGCGAGGCTCGAATCCACGTGCGGCACATCAGAGACCTTCTCAAGTCGTTGGACCCCAGCGATGCTTACAACGGGCTGGAATGCAGTTCACTGAGTTTTTTGAATACCGTTACTCAGGGCGACATTTTAGGTATAATAATTATAAAAATTTAAAATGTCAGCCACCAAACCTCAAGCCTGCAGGGAGATTCTATTTCACGAATCGAGTCGAATCGGCCATCTTTATTCGATATTTGGTATTCTGTTTCTCGAATCAATCATGTAAACTCGACTCGATTCCTCAATAGCTCAAGAGGAGTTGGGTCGATGCGTTTTGTCAATCTATCCTTATCTATCATCCAATGTTTCTTTTCATCTTCATCCCAATTTGAGGTTAGATCATCTTGTTTATGTGAAAGCACAGCTTTGAAAGTTTGTAATCAACTTATTACTTCATGAATATAATATATAATTAATTTTCGATGTCCTTCAAACTAAGAGATGCCCGCTGGGAAATGTTAATAACATTTTTAGAACAGCACAGAACATGGCCACGGCCACAGGATGATTTTCAGAGTCTAATGATCGTGAAACCAATGAAAAATGTTGATCAGGCTAAGCCAAGTAAATTCATTGAGGTTTATTGACGAGTGAACTCCTGAGAAATGGCATCTTTTGCTATGATATAGTTGCATAAAACCTCAGTGCACAGAATATTTGAGATTCTGTATACCGATTCCTGACCGATTCCCTTCATACTTTGACCTATCCACTAATAAGTGGGGTCTCAATGATTGTATCAGAAGACGAACCAACCTTTTGTTGAATCTAAATAGCTCAATAAATCATTTTTCAGGTAATGAAAAAGGATTAGGTGGGTACCTACTTCTGTTTTATAGTTCTTGTCGTCCGACGAATTTGATCCAAATTTCTTTGCCTATCTTTAGCTGCTGAAATACCATCTCGACTCGAACAATTAGAATTTATTCTTATTTTTGTCTTAGGATTGGATAGGAAATTGGAATTCATAAAAACAATATAACCACCATAACCTCAAATTTGTGATGGCTTTGGGGCTATGGCCTCGGTGCTCGTTTCATTGAATCAAAATCTCATCCCATTTTGCCAAAAAACCGACGATTTCCGAAGTCGAATTCGATCGCGACTTGATCGAGAAATAGAATAGAAAGTGAATTCGACTTCGAGTTCATCATCGTATCGTACGACAATCGACGATCGTGAAACAGAATCCCCCTGCTGTATTTTCTCTACAAAATCCAAACTTCGTATGCCTGATGAAACAATGTCTGGTACCACCATTCTCACAAAGTATACAATATCTATGCTCGGTATCACTATCAGTATTACTTGTCCATGGGAAAATCATATCATGTCCATAGCTGCTCCACAAACACTCGGCTTTTTATTCCGAGACGATAGTTCCGTTAGAATATTATTGCCACATATGGGGTTTAGCACCCAAACATATGCTGGTGCCTCAGCTGATGCTCTTAGATTCGATTCAGAGACGATACATGCCCCCTGGTTGATGATGCCACACTCACTAATTCCTACACATCATTTGGAACACCGCAGGAACGTCGCCGACCTTTCACTTTTCTACAGATTCTCCACGAAAAATGTACTTCAGAAATATCGGCTATCATTCCATCACTAGCAATAACCAGTCTGATGAACTCAACAAGCTTAGCCTTTTGTCGTCTGCCTCGAAATTTGTCGAAAAACGATCTACCAGAACTTGTTTGTCTATAGAACGTCAAAGATTTGGAATTTATTTCCAAAGGAAGTACATATTACCAAGAACTTATAACCTTCAACATTCCAATAGCTACCTTTTCTTCCTATCCTCCCTCCGAACTTGAAAAAAAAAACAATATATTTTTTCTACTTTTCTCACTACAGATCTTATGTTGAGGCATTAGCAAGAATTAATTTGAACTTTTAAAGGGACCGACAGAATTTAGCTATAATCCAAATAAGAATGCGGCGCAGGCACCGGCATGGCGAAATCATTGTCAATCATTCAGTATTATACTCACAAAACTGCCTCCTCCTCGATAAAGCCTTGTTTACATTAACTAACAGCATATAACTATCTGAAGTGTAACAATTAAATTAACTATTAATTTGAATACTGAGAAAAAAAGGCTAATAATTTTTTTTTTACAAAATGTTTGATAAAATAGGTATTCCAAATACAATTTCTTCAAATTCCTATTTTAATCACTCAAGACACTTTATTTGAGGCAACATCATTTTGTCTGTTGGTTTGTTTCCACATATTTGCCAAATGAAATTGATACACAATTGAAAGTGCGAAAAATAGTGTGTGGTATGGGAGCACAAGATAGATGTTGATGTCTTGGTGTTGTATAATGTACTAATTGGCAGTGACTCTTATGCAGGTATTGGTTCCCTAAAAAATTGTTCTCGCCTGCCGTCGCTGCTATGTTGATTCCACTGACAAACTACTATCTATACCATTAATGCCATAAGGAAGAAACTATGCCACTCATGAGATCGACTTTTACTAATCTTTCCGAACACCAAGAGACATGACTCTTTGTCATGAACGACATTTTGGGAGTTCCTGCGCATTGAGCAGAGGCGTTTTCAGGCGAGCTATTCACCCAAGATTTTCGGGTTGCTAGGATATGACCACTAGCGGTCTAGATAGTTTGTGTCAGTGGTTGATTTCCATGTGAGCTCCCAACCAAAATTTGATTCATGTTCTAAGCTAAGTATACTAATGATCTATTCTTCTATATCAGACAGTTTATATTGTGATATTAGAATTATCAAAAATAAGTAAAGGCAATATCTTATCAATAACCTAACCATGAAAAAGCAGTATTGTTACCTATTCTGAAATAAACAAGAAGAAGTTGCCTTGGATAATTTGAAATATACCATATACGTCGCATGAAAAGAAATAACATCGGACATACAAACGAACTCAAGTTCAACACTAGCAAAAATATACATTATGCTCAAACGACTTAAAATGGCTGATTGACGATCGATAATGAGATAACAGAGAAGCCGGCTCTGATGAAATCTACAACGAATATAGACATACGTTCTAAAAAGACTACAACATAGATCAAAGACATGCAGTGTTGACTTTGATCCTTGATCATTTACACTAACAAGATGATCCACCTCCACGTAAAATTTTGTAGGCAAATTTGGACTTAGTTCCTGGCTGGTTCGTATGCGGCGCTAGCGAAAGTCAGCAAAATATGGCTGATTTGTCTATACCCTAGTCCATCTATCTGCAAGTTGATAAACTATCTAGGAATATCCTTCTTTCTGATGCAGGAGAATCACTAACTGATGTTCTGAAGGCTTTTAAGTAAACATATTTTATTCCGGCCCTGATGTGACATTCCTCGTAAAAAATCATCTCTACCCTTCGCTACTCGACAAGTAGTTTTTTTATTTAAAGAGATAAAAATTTGAAATTCACAAGGGTTATATTATCGATGATGGCGCTTCCTTTGAACCGACAATTTTCTTCAAACACCTGTTTGGTCGGAAGTAGACCCAACTTTTTTTTTCAAATGGCTGTTGAATTTCATTTTATTGAAATACATGAAGTTGGCTGTGGCCCGAATGCAATGACATTTCGATGCTTGATAGGCTTAGAAATCCAAAGATCATTACTAGGGATATTATCAGAATATTTTCGATACCCTAATCGGTCCCAGAAGATTGCCAATAATTCCATTGAGTTTAAAGAAATCATCCGAAAATAACCAGCCAACTTCATGTATTTCAATAAAATGCAATTTGACAGCCAATTTTGACAGAGAATTCCAAGGCAAATAAGATAGACTACATAAAATATACAGGGTGCCGTTTTGAAAAAAAAGTTGGGTCTACTTCCAATCAAACAGGTGGTTGAAAAAAAATGTCATTGGGTTCAAAGGAAGAGCCATCATCGATAATATAACCCTTTCAACTAAAAAAACAGGCTGTTACATGTCTCCTGTATCACCCAGTATTACACACCGAGGTGGGAAGAGATTCTTTCCTGTCGTGAGGTTAACAATGATCTCGAGACATGAATGAAACCTCCTACCGAGGTTTGCATACTATTTTATTTACATCCATCATATTTCGATCAAAATCATTCATTCTGAACATACCTAAAATATTACATAAGTGAGGGCGGGAAGTAGAGGTCTGTAATGTGACACATCCCAACCTTCAATGAAGTAATGAAAACATTACATATATGGTTGTAAATAAATGTTCTTCCCCCATCCTCTTGCGTCCTACCATTTGTTGTTCATAGGTCAGTGAAATAAATTTAGTAATTGGATGCTGGAGCCAGCTTTCAAGATGGTTACACGAGCCGGCTATTGAGTCACTTCATAACTTGAGTAATTTATTTGATTCGATTAGAGAAAAAGAAGATGAGGCCGGAAAGCGTGGATTGTACGCCTCCCGATTACATAATGCCCGACAGCAAGGAGAGGCCGCTGACTGCTCTGCAGCCGCAAATGAAAGATCAGAAAATGCCTCAGTGCGTCAAAGTGCTAACCACTTCTGCCTGGAACCCTCCTCCTGGTCACCGGAAAATCCACGGGGACCTGATGTATTTGTATGTCGTAACGTTGGAGGACAAACACTATCACATATCGGCTTGTTCACGTGGGTTCTATATAAACCAGTAAGTATCTCTGTTCTACAGTGAAATTGGTCCAACTGACAAAAACCTGTTTTTTGAAGAAACGCCTTGATATCAAAAGTGTTGAAAAAACTAATATATTTTTTCTACAAACGTCAAAAAATGACAAGGTTCGCGCATTGATAACGAATTGCGAAGTGACACTTTTTTTCAGTTTCCTAAGTTACCATGATTCCGTGCACAAAACAATGCGCGAAGTAAAACAGTGCGCGAAGTACCTACTACGCCTCGTTAAAAAAATCAGATCTCGATCACCAAAGTAGCATTTCGCGCTCTAGATACAAAAATAACTAATTATTTCTCATTGTATAAGAAACTTCTATTCACCTTTAGCATATTATTATAAACTACTTACCAGATGAAGTGGGACAGCCAAAAAATTGACTAATTTTGATAAGGTATGACTCGAACATTTCTTGGCCAATGTTGGATTTTCAACCAAAGGTAGAAAGCGTCATCCTTAGGCTATGCGTCATTGGCGTCAGGTTTTTATTTTCGCGATTCGTTCTCTTTGTACAGAGTGTGAATTAAGAGCCGGACAAATTTCAAATTTTAGACCAATAATTTGAGAAATGTGAGGGACCCTAGAATTCTTTTTTAGATGTTGAGTGAATGGTTGGTCCGATACCTCGAGACGTCTTTGAAATTTTTTTGATAAATTGCGTTGCTCTGGAAAAATCGGCATTTTATGAAATTCCATTTTCATTTTAAAATGTGGCAACATCTAACTGCAGCAAGGGATATTTCTACTGAAGATATTTAACACCAGTGGCGCGCATAAAGGGGTTTATGATATTTAGAAACGAAAAATTCGTTTTTATTGAAAAAAATTAGTTTTATTGATCCTTACAGTTGAAAAGTTGCTATACAGTCAATTAGCATGATGTTGACAAATTCAGAGGCGTGCAAAAGTGAACAAATCAAAATTTCAGTCTCATTATCATTGTTTTTTACTTATTCAAGGTGAGCATCCAAGTAATCCATTGGCGTATTAAAGAAGATCCATCATTCAAGGCGATTCGAAAAGATTGATATGGAAACATTTTTAATAATTCTATCAAGTGTTGTTCTTTGTTCGCCCAGTGAAAATTTTCTTGTTTCATTATTAATGAATGAAAATTCAGAAACGTAATGCTGGCTTCTGATGTTTCTCGAGCCGTACAATTTAATAATTTTGTCAGAAAAAAAATCAAAAAATCTTGTTGATTTTTTCCAATAAAAACGTTTTTGTCGGAAAAAATCTTGTTGATTTTTTCCAATAAAAACGTTTTTGTCGTTTCTAAATATCATACACTCTTTTTTTCGCGCCTCTGAATTTGTCAACATCATGCTAATTAAGGATATAACACCTCTTCAACTGTAACGATCAATAAAACTGTTGAAGTTTTTCAATAAAAACGAATTTTTCGTTTCTAAATATCATAAACCCCTTTTTGCTCGCCACTAGTGTTGATTATCTTCAGTAAAAATATCCCTTGTTGCAGTTCAGATGTTCGCTGTTATTGTTTAACTAAAAGAGGCCACATTTTAAAATAAAAATGAAATTTCATGAAATTGTGATTTTTCCATAGCAACGCAATTTATCAAAAAAATTTCAAAGACGTCTCGAGGTATCGGACCAACCATCCACCCAACATCTAGAAAAGAATTCTAGGGTCCCTCACATTTCTCAAATTATTGGTAAAAAATTTGAAATTTGTCCGGCTCTTAATTCACACTCTGTACAAAGAGAACGAATCAGGTCAGACATCGCCCCAAATGAATGATTGAAAAAGCGAGAAATGACGGTACTTGAATGTACATGACATCGATATCATATGGCGGTATGCACGTTCTGTTTGAATCTGTCTAGACAACACAGTGCAATTGTTGATTGTGAAAAATTCACTCAATACCAGTTCAATAACCTATTGGTAAACAAATACATATTAAAAAAGCGCCCTTAATGATTAACTGCTGTACATGTCAACTAGGAAAAAGCCAAATACAAAGTGGAATGCAATGGTCACAAAGAGAGAAAAACTCAAAGTCATTACCACAATAGTTCATAAAATGAACAAAAGTGGTAGATAATGAGAGAAAAACAACTACTTACCTGGCTATATATATAATATATATATAATAAAATCGCAAATGTTTCCTTCCTAAACGCCGAGCTGCGCCGAATTGTTTCAGAAACGCGGACTACCTGCAGACCGGTTTCGGGCTGTTGGCTCTCTCTCTCATCAGTGCAGGGGTGTCTCAGATAACATTCTTGACTGCTATCTGGTACGAATCTGACCCAACCTAAACGCATCTCAGCATTTATACCACACGAGGCGTTCAACGTCCGCGAAATGAACGCAAACGCAGAACGCCACCTGGTAAGGAAAGAAATACTACAAAACAATATCCCATTTTAGATGAAATGGGAGTGGCTGGTTGCCCGACTGGTGTATTTTCAACTAAAAGTAGAATGCAATGGTCACAAAAAGAGAAAAACTCGATGTCATTGCCACAATAGTGTTCATAAAATGAACAAAAATGGTAGATAACGAGAGAAAAACAACTACTTTCTTCTGGCTTTATGCCACGCAGAACATTGGATTACATCCTCCCGAAATCTATTCAATCATTTGCATAGACGAATATAATCGCAAGTGTTTCCTTCCTAATTTATATAGAAAACACAGTTCATCTACCCAGGGAAAAGTGATCTTATGTGCTTCGTGCTATTGAGAAGGAATTAAATTTAGGTCTGAAAATAACTCAAAGTAGAAAAATTGATTCACTTACCAATACCAACATTGAAATGCAAATTAAAGGGTACTCTACTGAAGAATATAAACTTTGACCATATCAAAATGAAAACACTACTTCCAGTGAAATGCTTGTAAACCTGAATCCTGAATGTAAACAAATATGAAAAAGATATTCACATAAAATATCCGAAAAAAGTCATCGCGCTTATTTTGTATTGCCTATAGTTATTTGTTTCACTAGGCAGAAAAAAACAAGATTTAATGCTGCGGCTGGTGTTTCATAGCCGTGGCGTAGCGGAGGCCAGGAGACATTTGGGGAAAATATTTTTTGCATTTATAAGAAAGGTGAATGATCAACTGTTAAAAATGGCCGTTGACTAAGTAGTTCATCTGAACTGTGAAACATCCTGTAAACCTGTTGCAATGATGAAACAATTTTCTCAACTTCTCCCAATAACATTTGTCTTCAGGTCAGCTGCCGAAGAATTCAACCCAAAGCCAGCATCTCCTAGTCACTTGTGCCATTCGTTGATAGAACTTCTCAACCAGATATCACCTCAGTTCAAAAGAAACTTCGCTTTGTTGCAAAAGAAGCGGAGCCAGCGCCATCCATTCGAAAGGGTGGCTACTCCCTACCAACTCTATGCTTGGACCGCCCCTACCATGGAGCACACTTTGGATGCCATCAGAGCGGAAGACAGTAAGTTATTGAAGATTCTTTGGGTCTGTTTCACTATAAAATCTATTTTTCTACTGATGTTTCATTTTCATACAAAGTAACCTCACTATTATTGTCATTCAAGTTAGGGTCCCTTATGTAAATTGACGTATTTGTCATCCTAACAGGGTACGGACAGATTCTTGAGGACATTGGCGTATCATACGTAATTTTCACATGTAATTTCTTATTCAACTCTACATATTATTATATCCAAATGATGATGATAATTTTCGAGTTTTTGATTTTTCAACTCCAGCATAATCTTTGTGAGGCAAAGAGCAAATTTTTCTGAAAGTTTTATACGTTTTACCAAATGGGACTGTTCTCAGGCAGTATCAATAAATGAATTTTGATTTCAGACTAAGCCTTTAGATTGAGAAATGGTGAACAATTTTGTGTAGGTATTTGAACTAATGTGCTCATATGCCATGTGTGCTGTATATATTCATGTTGGGGATCATTTTTTCAGATTTTCACGAACACTTAATATTTCCTGAATGTAGGTATAATTGTTTAAATGGTAGGGCATATGCCTCTTCTATTAATACTCCGTTTTAATCAGAACTGTTTCTACTAAAATGCGTTAAAAAACTTGTGGATTGGATAATTATCCAACCCTATGCTGGAACAACGCTGTAAACGCCAAAAATGTTTTTTTTGGTAAATCGAAAAAACCCGTATATGATCGACTGTTCCATCAAATGAAGTCAATTTTTGCCTGATATGGCTAGCAAGGAAGAACTTGACTGGATGATAGGCACAATAGACTTGACCACATGCAGAATTATGATTTATGAGCATATTTTTCTTTTTTCAATCAAACAACGTTATATATCCACGTCGGTTTAAAAAGTGTTTAAAAGTGTTTTTAACCGCCAGCTTAGTTGCAAAGCAACCCTCGAAAGTCAGAGACTTGTGTGAGTTAAGAAGACGGGGACCTTAGCTTTTTAAGTGTCATCCGAAGCACTACTCGGCTGGTAACCGTGGACAGTCCAAAGGTTACAACGTTATTCCAGGGAACTAAGGCGGTTACAACGTTGTTTGAAGATCGAAAATAAAATTATAGGCACAATGAGAAAGTATAATATGTGATTTCGTATTAGCTTTACCTCGAATATTTTACCCATTTTCCCCATTCGGTCACTTCACTTTCCATGTTCTAAGTTCATTTGCATTTGATGGGAATTAAAATTTGCCATCCAACTGATTGATACAGCCTACTGCAGCACATTTTACCATCCTTCCAAAACAGAATTGAATAATGTCCTATTAGGATCAAGTATGAAATTGATATTTTGTAAGATCTCTTTTAACGCCTATGAATGTGACGTGACAGCAATGTCATGTTAGGGACGCCAATACACGAAACCAAAGTCACTAGATGATTTAAAGAGAAAGGAGCTATGATCTGTCCGTACCCTGTTAGATGACAAATACGTCAGTTTGCATCAAGGGGCCCTAATTCAAGTTATACAATAATGGCATACACTTATATATGTATTCAATATAAAATTACTTGAACAGAATTAGGTGAAATTAATTTAATAAGTATGCGATCTTATCGCTACTTCGCTTTTTGCATAGAAGTTATATTATCAAAACCTATACTCATTACTATATTTTAGAAAATTGATTTTTTCTCCGATTTGCAGCAAATATTGATTTTGCTGACACATATCAATCAGCAAAGTATTACTTTTCCTGCGTAGGCAGCAAAGTGAGTACTTTGCTGCCTAGGCAGCTGTTTGGGATTAAATAAAAGTGGACTGAATGTAATTTAGTTTTGTAAAAAATGGTTTATTAATTAACGTTTTAACAAGCTGTATGAACTCAGTCGCTGTACGCAATACAAGTGGCGACTCTCTCAGTCGTCAAAAACAACCACACGGAGTAGGTAAAATGGAGGGGCAACGCAGTGCCGTATCATATATGAGGCGTTCTTGCCTGAACAGCAGCAAAGTGGTTACTTTGCTGATTGATATGTATCAGCAAAATCAATAATCCATAAATCGTTTATAATTTCCTTCATATTTTATCCAAGACTTCTCCGGCAACATATTCAACTCTATTTTTTTTGCCACCTCCCTTATTTCTGTAGGTTTAAGTACTTCCAGCTCGCTATCACTGTCCATTAAATAATGATTTAAATATACCGATATTTTTTCGCACAACTGTCAGAAATTTCATGAATTGTCAAACTATAATTATTATGGACATTTCCATAGCAACCAACCATTCCAACAACTGCGATTTCGATCAAATTTCATTTTAATTGAACACTACAGGAAAAATAAAGAGATATATATCATTATGAACAATCAGAGAAAAAATTATATGTTCAACTCGGCACCAAAATAGATTGACTGCCTTAGCTGGATTCCTAGCCTCGCTACGCTCGGCTCTGAGTTCAGCCTCGGCAGTCAATCTACTACTTTGCTGCCTAGTTAAACAAATAACTATTTTTTTGTTGACTAGAAAATAAAAGATTGGAGATATATTATTAAAAAATAAAACTGAAAGATATTTTGAGGCAGTAGGTCGAATTATCATCTATGACTTATAAAATTGAACACAAGGTGTACTCAAGATCATTCCACTCGCTGGAAACTGGAACTCAACCATAAAAAGAAAGCAACATTCCCAGGTATTTGAATTTGTGGACCATGACATTCAACGTCATTAAATGAATTACCTAGGAATCACACTACTGGATTTTAATCAACATACATCTATAATAAAAACAGGTGATATCCGATCTTGTTGGAAAATATATAGAGATACTTCCATTATGTGATATACCCTGTATATGTTGTTGATTTTAATATAGTTCAGTTGTTAATATATCATTTAAAAGATAAGTCTCTGATTTCGTCTCCTCGTACCTCTGCTGCATCACACTCTGCTATCAGATCTACGATCAACCATAGACTTATTATCCCAAGGAGACGCAACATATCCTTCATCGTTGTAATAATATGAGATTTCCAAAAATAGATTATCGCCCCATGTATTATTCATGTCATCATGTGTCATTCATGTTACAATAAGATATTTGGTTTCGCTACAATGCCAATTCCAGAATGTCCAGCATTCTCGAAGCTCTGCTGTCCGCACGCACGGTCGACAAAATGTATCGCATCGTAAGTCGCGCGGTAACACAAAGCTATTTAGATTATGTTTAGTTGTTTTGAAGATAGTGTCTTTAATGGTAAAGTTTGTATCCTTCATTATTGCCAATATTCCTTTCTGAAATGCTTATTATATGTGTCATAAAAGGAAAAGTCGAGTTGTTCGGCAGTCAAGATGTCCGTCGCTGAAATATTTAAGTAGGATATAGATACTATCTTCATGAGCAACCTAGCCCAACCTCGAGAGGTTTTATGGTAGGTTAAGCAGGTGCCTTTTTGTATGGTGCTTCTTTGTCGATCTCTATTTTATCGGACTCTGTTTTTTACTCAGCCGGTATTTCTGGTAACATTTGATTTTGCTACAAAGCCATGTTTTTTTTTTAATTTCAGCTTTCTCCTCAAAGCTGGGGTATGAGGAGCACATCCCCGGTCAGACCAGAGACTGGAACGAGGAGCTTCAAACTACTCGCGAGCTGCCCAGAAAAACGCTGCCCGAGCGGCTGTTGCGCGAGCGCGCCATCTTCAAGGTAATAATGTAATTTACCTCTGGTTGGCGCCAACCTAGAAAACCTGTACCACTGTAAAAGCAATATTATAGAAGTTTGATTACTCAAATCATCATGGTGCATCTGCGGTACGTCAATACTGAAAAGTCAATACTATCAATAGTGTCAGTAATATGCCGAGTAAAAAATGGTATATCAATGAATCACTAAATCAGTAAGTTCGATTCACGTTCGAACTTCGAATAATGATCAAAACACTCTTATGAGAAAAGTGCAAACCTATAATAAACTGGATGTGAGGGTTCCAAAGTTATCTGGTCTTGGGCTACTCTCGACTTACCGTAATAGTACATAACTTTGTTATTAAGTCTTTATATTTATTGTTGTTCATTTATATTTCCTCACTACCCATAATATCTCATGCTATAATAAATATTGTGATCTTCAAGTAGTCTTGTGATTTCAGTTACCATTAAACTATCTGTGACTAATTATCTGGTGAAAGGTATGTTATTTTGAAATTTTGTATTCCGACATTTGTGATATGTATCTCTATTATTGGAAACTTTGACCAGTTTTTATCCAAAGTGAGCCGTGTAAGCTTTCAGAGTATTTATTTGAATGATTTATTTTCCCTATTGCTATTTTTTTACTAGGAAAATGCTTATTATGACATAGGTATGTTAGAGTTTTTATTTATGATCTACTGGAATTTATTCGTTTCCTCACAGTTATGGTTTCATCGACTTGAAGACACTTTTGTGGGTTATTTTTCATTTTAGGAAATGATCGAAACTTCATTATTGTATTCTTTAGAAGTCATGTCTGGATCGATTTTTGACACAAATGAAATATATTCCTACTATCTAATGCAACGATCAAACTTCTTTACGAAAGGATGATAAATACTAGTGTTATCCATAGATGAATTAATCTTGAAAGCAGGTGGATCAACATAATTTTCAACTAATCAGAACTGGAGTTCACAAAAATTAATGTTTCTTCTGAATAACGTCTATTAGTGGGCTGAGTAGACTCCTACAGGTTTCATCAAAATAAAGCCATTTGAGTAATAAAACTTCCATAATGTTGCTTCTACATTGGTAGATGTTTTCAGGTTGGCAACATTGATTATTCAGAGTAGTACTTTATATTTAAGGCATAGACTTTTCCTAATTCGACAGAATTGTACATATTGTTCATCGAATAATTACATATAGGAGTTTCAAGAAAATATGGCAACATGGCAGTTACGGAAAATAGCGGTTGTGGTTCACTGTGGTGGCCAACAGCGCTCACTATTAAACAGTTCGACGCATAATGAATTTCAGTTTTCATTCACTGTTCAGATATTTCAGCAGAGACTGGCGGAGACGTACAATATCCGAATCAGTCTCTCTTGCTATGTTGCCATTTACATACCCTGTGTGTACCGATGTGACAAAAAATCTATATACATTCAAACACTTTCATACATCGCCGCATACTGATTCCCTGTGAGATACTGGTATTACCGACTGGAGTGTGCTGGTGTCTAATTTCTGGGTATGGAAACAGTTTTTCAATTATTATCCATGCGTCTATGACATTTGTTATATTAGCCTTCAGCTGTAATGGCCCTCAGCTGGCGTCATCGGGTCATTATTCACGCCTCAGGCCATAAACGCCCACTTTACACTCTTGAAACATAAATAACTATTATATGAAAACATACTGGACGACATTTTCTATGATTTCAATTGTGCCCAGAATTTCTGCTAGAAGACAATATTTATATATGCACTCGCTTTGCACGACCTAATAGAGCTAGTGCGAAAATTGTTGCACCGAGTTCAATACTGTATGCACCAGTTTCCAAGTTAAATACGAAACCCGCCACTAGCTTTTTCAATGGAATACAAAATGTAGCAAAATAGACTCCCAGGGTCTTAGGAGGCTAGGTGAAATTCAGCTGGAGCCCAGCCAACAAGGAACCAGTCACGTTTCAAGAATTTTATTATCGATTTAGTAGGCACACCTGCAAGTTGACAACCTTGAGCAGGTACCGGGTAGCACAACTACTAATTACAATGCTTTCTTCTCCTGTGGAATAAGCATCCCATTCTAGGGAACTCTGTGGAACCGCTGCCAAATCGACAATTCGAGAAGATTTTTCAGATAGAACATTTTATTCAACTAGTCATAAATAGCTTACAGCAAAAAATAGACAAACCTTTATAACATAATAATATAGTCATAAAAGTTTGAAATTCACTACTAATAATTCTAATGTTTTTAGTTATTGTAAGGTTAATAACATAGTAAAAGAAAGAATTATTCAAAGATAAACGTGGCGTTTTTTTTGTTATTGATAGTTTTCCGGCTGTTGTGTGATCAGTTTCCGCTGTTTCAATAACTCATTTAACATTATAAACCTAAATCAGACTATTTTGATTCGGCAGTGTCAAATTTGTGAAGATATATAATATAGGTACGTAGAAATTTGGTACAGTGGCGATATTGTGTGAGGGCTTGCTTTTGTTGATGAAAAGCGTGTTTTTAATATTGAATATATCGAATAACTTCACTCAGACGTTACAAAATAACGTATTATTGAGCTGCAATACGCAAGAGCTAATTCATTAATTCAAACGAGACATTTATAGAAATCCCGATCAATTAAATATATGAACTATATCTACGAAGAAAATCAGATCTCTGGCAATGGTTCTGCAGAGTTATCCCCACCATTCGAAATGTCATTCATTTATCCGTGTTTGTCGTTTAGCATTGTTGGCATATACTCTTTAATGATTGATGAATGATTTGCGGTGTCTATTGATATTTAGTCTGAGATAGGTACTGACCCAGAAGCAGGCAAAGAGCAGAATTAGAAAGAATAACAGCCTGTACGCTATCTTATCCCCATACAGGTAGGTATTCACAGGTAATCTGCACAACCCATTTCATAGTGCAGTATATTATGTTGCCTAGGTAATTTTAGGCACCTTAGAAATTTATCGTCACCACACTCAGTGTGCAATGGTCGAGTGGACTGATAATAAATTATTGGCATTCAATTACTCCACTGTGTCGTTATGGAAATAAATTAGTATTTGCAACACTTCTCACGAATTTTTTTATGTAAATAATGCGTTGTTCAAAATTGTTGAATTTCAGAGCTCATTTCCAACCTACCGTCATGGCTGCCATTTGGCGATAACTACGTCAAATAAATGGTTAGTTTTTATGCTGTTTCGTTATTGGTCAGATAATCTTCCATTCCCACTCACGAAGCAAGGTTGTCAAGTCACCATAATCAAGTTATCAAAAAGATGTTACAAGTCCTATCGTTGAATGAAAGATAATAGGGGGAACCGAGAGGAACCAATGATATTATAGTAAATTCTTGAATTTCTCGATCAACCAGCCTGTCCAAATATTTCTTATACTCCATGACAAAATATCATTCGCCGTGTTGTCACGTTTACCGCTTCCAATGTCCTCTAGTGTGAATTAATATAATTATTATTAACACGAATTTATTCTAAGCAATAAGCCACAAATCATGAGGTAACATATTGAGACGATTGATTCTTTATTGCTAATTAGGAATAATACCAATACATAATTGAGAATTTATGAATTATTGAATAACTAATATTTCTGAAGTTCCCAATCGAAATTCCACACATGGCAACTGTGCTATGTTCTGCCCCTACTTACGAAATCGTGACGTCAGTTTTTACTAGCCGTTTGAAAATTACAGTGGCATTATTGATGATTTTAGCATCTAAAAATCGACCGAAAAATTCTAAAAAATATGAAATTGAAAGGTAATTGTGTGACTATTCCACTCTTACAGAATCGGCAATTTTCACGGTTTCTTCTGTATTACAGCGATATTTTTTTGTTTACTAAATTTTATCGGACTTGCTCAACCAATACAGGAGCCGAATTGACCCACACGTCAATTATGTTGGAAGCCAAAATGAGAAATATTCGTCGATTGATATACTTCAGCTTGCTGCTTTAATTTCGCTCATGACATTGTTCCAAAACTTCTCGCCTACAGCTCGAAAACAACAAGCTGTCGTAACTATCGCCGAATATTTTCGGCAAAATAGTATCTTGTACTTGTTGTATTACATGCGATAATTCTATTTTAGGAATAAAAACAAAGTATTCCACTCACCTATTCGCTATAAGAGAGATATGACCAATAATTGACCATACTCAACTCAAGAATAGAATAGAATAGAATTTATTCAATATAGGATACATCCTAATATTTACAATTCCAACAATATAACAACACACAGCATAACACTAACAGTTTCTTGATTAAATAATATAGAAAAATAAAAATAATCATGGCAAGTCTGTTTGTTTGGATGGGCAGCACTGATGCTATTCTTGAAAAGAAGAATAGTTCTTTTGATATCTTATTTTTCATCATGTTGAAGTGTTCTTTAAATGACAGAGTTTCATCTAACATAACACCTAAGTATTTAAAGTTATGTACAATTTCTATAACTTCGCCTTCGATAACTAAACTAATATCTATTGTATTTATGAGTCTGTGCTTATACGGATTTGTTATGATCATAGCTTTTGTTTTCTGAACTTTAAGTTTCAATTTATTTATTTCAAAATAGTTTCCTAATTTTGACAATTCAATATTCATCCTATTCACAATGTGATTTAGTGAATCACCACTAATAGCTAATAGGGTATCATCTGCATACAAGTTCGTGAAATCACAGTTTATGTTACAAGATAAATCATTCAAGTAGAGAATAAATAGGAGTGGGCCTATAATACTCCCCTGGGGTACACCTATATCAACTGGCTTTTCATTTGACAATGCATTATTTATTTTTACAACTTGACTTCTACCTGTTAAGTAGTCATTCAGCCAGTCTAAAACAACTCCCTCAAAGCCATAGTGTCTTAGTTTAGCTTTTAATATAGCCCTATCAATGGTCTCAAATGCTCTTTTTAGATCTATAAACACTGCCACAATATATTTACCTTTATCAGTACTCAGCGAAATTCACCAGCGCAATGTATGTTCATTTTCAAGGTGCACAGCGACTTCGTGGCTGCCGCGACGAGGGGCGCGATGGCCGTCATCGACGGCAACGTGATGGCTATCAACCCCGGCGAGGAGGCTAAAATGCAGATGTTCATCTGGAACAACATTTTCTTCTCGCTGGGGTTCGACGTCAGGGACCATTACAAGGAATTGGGCGGGGATGCGGCCGCTTTCGTCGCTCCGGTGAGTTTTTTTTTTCAGTATGCAGAGTTGGTGGAAGGTTTGAACCACCTACACACCATCTTTCTCATAGTATTCGCTTGAGAGGGTATTGCTCCATATGCAAGAACACAAACGCGTGAATTCGATCTAAATGTGCTTATAACTGAAATATAGGCCAGAAAAAACACTGAAAGTCGGTCGACCAAAAATAATAATATATTGATAATTTCGGCCACCATAAGACACAAAATAGAGATAAAATAACATATCGAATATAGTTTTTGTGCCTAAAAATGCGGCGACATATCAAAGGACACTATGACAGTGAGCAGACTATATTATAGAAAAACATTAATCATCCAAAGTCGGTCGACCACAAATAATACATTCAACAAAGTGTAACTAGTTTTGGCCATCATTAGACACAAAATTCGATTGATTGTCTTTATTACCCCAAGAAAAAATATTGTTTATAATAGGGATATATACAATGTGGGATCGCAGGGTACCACCCTGTGAAGCACCGACCTCAAGACCAACCCTCAGCAACAAGTGCTCGTGTGGATACCTCCCGGGGCGAGACACACTTTTTTTACGACGGTGGTAGAGCAAAGACGATTGAGACGAACGACGGGCTCAAAGACGTTTACTACCTTTTTAGTTTGTTATTACTCATCATTATTCAGTTCATTTGTAGTTCTCCAGTAATATAGTCACTAATAATAATCGACACTCTTTCCTATTAACTAGTATCCCACATCAATGTATCACACTTGGGGTCTAGCGGAAATGATTACAGAAATATTGGGTGTTCAGAATCGAACATTTTCAAATTTGGGATTTTTTTGTGTCAGAACTATTCATTATTGGTCGAAACGGCTTACACGTCCCTATCTCAACGTTTGATTTACTATCTACTGAAATTTGATTGGAATAGATACAGGGTGATCAGAAATCTTGAATCTTGAACCACCCTGTATTTGTTCCAATTAAGTGTCAGTAGATGGTGAATCAAAAGTTGAGATAGGGACATGTAAGCCGTTTCGACCAATAATAAATAGTTTTAACACAAAAAAATCACAAAGTTGAAAAATATTGATTTTGAACACCCTATATCTCTATAAACATTTCAGCTAGTCTCCAAGTGCGATACATTGATGAAATCAGCTCATAAGAGAGAATCTAAAAATGTAATAATATACAGGGTGTCTCATTTGAAAACACCCATCATCAACCGATATCTTGGAATTTGAATATCATAATCCATTAGAAGAAAAATCGTGAATGGTTAGTAGATATGGAATTAAAGTTTACTGAGCGGATATTTCTTCAAATTGATTTTAAATTCTTCTGTTTCTCTTATATTTTTCAAATTATTAGGTAAAGAGTTATATAAAATTATTCCACTATGGCATATTGATTGTTTACCAAAATTCGATTTATAATTATTTGCTATCAATAAATTAAATTGAATTGTTTCATGGGCGTGAACCATATTAACTTCATTAAAATTCAAATTTGTATATTTTCAATTCCTTCCTGACAAAATGAATAAAACAACAAATGTAGAGTTTATATAATGAAACTAGATTCAGCGAGTGTTTGGGTTTGTATAAATTTACAGTTGATTCTAAAACCGGTAAATTGAAAATGCACTTTATTCTTTTAGTTTGTAATTTCATGAGTGGCTTCAAACGTGAAATATTTGTACTTCCCCAAATATATATCAGATGTAGTAAATTTTAATAAATAAGACATATATAAATACTCATTAGGTATCTAACAGGAATTAAATTTTGTTTTTCCTCGCATGATCTATATGTTGAGTCCGCGATAATTGTTGCTTATTCAATGGATTTGTTATTGAAACATATTGGGGTATTATTCAATATGCCAGTTGTTCTTTTTAAGATGTACATATACACAATAGATTCATAATATATAATTAAGAGTCAACTTATTGGTCGTTATCCAAGGTGATATTTGTTTCAAATCATTTTCAACCCGCAAGTACTATCCTCAATGAAAATAAAGTAACTACTACCCGCGGGTCAAGTTGACCCGTAGTAAATGTTAAGGTTTTTTCAGCTTCATGAAAAAGATATTCAACTGAGCATGTGATATTATTATGGATATACATTGACATAAGAGAAAAACATTTAGACATTGATAGACACCGCATCTTTTCCTTTTCGATGCACCAACTCTTTGTTTAACCCCAGGTGGCACCATGGGATGTGTTGGATTCGGTATTTTCAGTATACCAGATGCAATAGAGCGAACTCTCGGATCCATTTTCTGCGTTACAAAAATGATTTGTAAATAAGTAAGGCAACTTTCATAGTAGGATATCACTACTGAGTAAGAATTCAATCCAAACTTATGTGAAAAATAGCAGGAAAACCTCCAACGGTTAAATGATCATCTTACCTACCTATACAAACAACAAAGGCAAATATCATATAAGATTTGAAACGTCTCAACTACCCATGGGCCAGAATGACCCAAAACAGTTCACTGGCAAATTCCTGCGAATTCTGTCGCTCTCATGTTTACAGCAAACTGTAGAAATATATATTACTGGAGAATTTCAGAGAGGGCAACATATTATTCGTGTGAGTGTCAAAGATACAGTATTTCAAACATATCACTGGGTCAGTTTGACCCGTGGGTAGTACTTGAGGGTTAATATTGATATCGTTACATTTTTTTTCGATGTATTGATTATAGTTGTCCCATCTGCAAATAATTTTATTTTTCCTTTCAATTTCAATTTAGATATTCAGTTGAAAATTAAATTGGCCCCAATACTGACCCTTGTGGTACACCACATGTAATATTCACTGAGAAACTACAAGTAAAACATACTTTTTTCTATTCAAATAATTTTGAAACCCAATCATGAATGTTTCCTCTGACACCTATTGATGATAGTTTAATCAATAAAATATAATGATTTACATTATTTACAGGGTCAAAGGTATAATCATGAGAAGTATCCAGTATTTTTCCATATGCCTCATCAAGATTATTATAACTATTTTTATTATCATTTATTTATTTACGAAAAGGAATAAAAACGGGAATAACCCAAAAACAGTATTCACAGGTATGCCATATCTCATAATACAGATACTTATAATAAATAAATCAAATATCAATTACAAAGCTGATGAAAAATCAATTATTGAAGTAATGAATGATTGAGTAGGTACAACATGTAGTGATTGTAATGTGTTGATACAAACAAGGGTGAAATAATTTTATTCAGTACATATCAAAACATATCAGAATATATCAAAATCTTCAAGGAAATGTTTTTTTCAAAATGTTATAAAATTTGGAAAGTAAGTAAGAGAAAATATCAATATCAATAGAATTTGACTGCGTGTTGTATAATATTTTGCATCTATGCATTGGAGAGTTTGAAAAATAATTTGAAATGTTCCTTGTTCCTTCTATGCACTAGTAAAAAGAAGTTCAGCTCATTTCAAACGGTTGCTGGGGTTGGATCGTTGGATGGAAAGCATTTTTTATTGACGTAATTTATGAATATATTCTGTATCCGTTCAAGTTCATTTATATAAATATCGTAACCAGGATTCCATATTAAGGCACCATAACTCAAAACAATATTGACATATGACATATAAGGGGTACGGAGTGTCTGTGTGTTTTTGAATTCACAACAGGTTCTCATTATGAAACCTAGCATTTTATCATTGAGTATTTTCAATTCAGATTTCAATTTTTCGATATATACTTCGAATATAATCTTTGTGGATGAAAAAAAAAAATACAAATACTTCGACAAAGAATGGTATCACTGACAAATATAAATTTGAAACAAAATTGCAGTTTGCATTACGACAATAAGGCGACAGATAGGACACTGGGACAGTGAGCAGACATTATTTTGCCTGCAAGGTTTTTCATTTAGATCTTCAATGAGCTATCAGAGGAGTTGTGTCATTTTTTTTAAATTGTCGCAGAATTTGACCCTACCAAATCATTTCCATATTATGTTACAAACTTTATGAATTGCACTACCTAATTATTATTTGAAACTGGCCGATTTTTGTCATTATTGTTTATTTTTTTAGCGAAACGATTTACAAGGTGTGAGAGTTTATAGTGCAGTTGATCTGCCAGGTCTGTATACTCTTGGCACCGTTGTGATCGATTATAGGGGATACAGGGTGACTGCACAATCAATTATTCCGGGAATATTGGAACGCGAACAAGAGCAGTCGGTGGTGTATGGATCCATAGATTTTGGAAAAACTGTATTGACGCATCCAAAATATTTGGATTTGGTGAGTATCACTGATATATTTTCAGACTGAGTTTTATTTGATCAATTTTTAGTTGAATAAAGCTGGCCAACAATTGAAAATTTTACCACATCATGTAATAAATGATAAGGGAGAATCAATCGAATTGTGTTCCAGTGTTGAATGCAAAGGCATCATCGGTAATGATGGGAGATATTACATTCTGGATTTAATTCGTACTTTCCCTCCTGATGTCAATTTTCTATCACGTGAGTATGCCATGCCGCTTCGATTTGAAAATTATACCTGTCACAGGGAATCTACAAAATATTACCTTTCATGTTTCATAATCAGAGTATGTTTTCAACACAGTACTCGAGATACTGGGCTTAAGAACGTGAACAATTGATTGCTTTTTTTGGATTGAAGTACTTTACGTCGCTCGCTCGTCTGCCAGACATACGAAAAAACTACAAAGTCAATATTTTTATTTCAAAGACGCTTATAATTAAAGAAAAAGATCTATTCTGAGATATCCAGGATGAATAGAGTTGTCACAGTGTACTTACATTAGACATCATCAGTCGCTCTCGGTGTGCTAACTGCTAGGCTTTAAGGCGGCAATAACATGACATGATCATAATGTAAATTCTGTTGTTTATTTTATCAGGCATGTCAAAAGGTTGTGCCACCATCACTATCCTGAGCAAAATACTGAAAAACAAGATGAGAATCATGCCATCCGATACCAATTGAACGTTAGATCTCAAAACTCTACCTGTATCGCCCCGTGATCTAAGTCATATCCTCGCAACATATATTTTTTTGCTGCCTTCATTCCAGTCATTCCGTCACGTGATAACGAGTTGAAAGAAAATGCAAATAAAAGGGCATAATGTCCCCTTCGTGAATCAATATTAGCGACATTAGCGACGCTCTACCACTATTATATTAAATCGCGGCATGTTTGGATATTCGCGAGGGGACATTATCACCCTTGCATTTTGTATGAACTTGTCAACACGTAACGAAAGTACGCCCGGAATAACGGTAGCAAAAAAAATCGTTGTGCCGAGGATTCCAGTCAACCAAAGGGTGCCGTTTGATAAAATTCAATGTTTTTACGTGCCTTTGGGACATGTCATTCTGTTATCAGATGGACTTGGACTTTTAGACGCAATTAATAATATTAATAATAATAATAATCTTTATTATGCCCAAGAAAAATACATGTTTATAACAGAGAAATGTATGAAAGCATAAATGAAAGTTAACATAATTAGATGATTATTTTAAAACATAAGTATGTTAATGAATAATTAAATCTGTAGTACATATTATGTTGAATCTTCTTGAAACTGTTGAATATGGATAAGTTCTTGTAAGTATGAATTTAGAATTTTTTGAAGGATTTATACCTAATTTTAAAGGATCGATTTGGTTATCAGGTATAACTCTTTCCAAGATGAACATGAAAGAAGATTTATCGAAATTCAGTGTCAATTTATGATCTTGTAACCATAATGTAATTGAAGCGACATCTTGTTCCATTTTGTTTATTATTTCTTGCATATTTTTTCCGTAACAAATGAGATGATATAATACTGGAGATTTTTTCAGTGGAAGAAGATTTGAGTAGGGAGGTGAAACTGTTGGGCTTCCCTATCGAGCACAAGCACAAACTGTGCTGTCTGAGACAGGAATTGATTGACGGCTTCGTCGATTCCCGATACATGATGTTCATCAAGTATGCAGCCTATCACCTGCAGCAGCTGAACTTACGAAAGACCGAAGAGAAAAAGAAGGCGGCCGAAAATCTGCCGGCCATAGACGAAAACAAGAATGACGATAATAAAGAAGCGGAAGAGAACAGCAAAGATATCCAGCCGGAGAACGAGAATAAGGACAAGAGCAAGAGTCAGATTGAGGATGCTGAGGCTAAAAAAATTGTCGAGAGTATCACGGATGGAAGCAAACTGGAACGTGAGTTGTTACCTGTAATAGAATCGATGTACTAACTCGGAATAATTCTTATAGTTTGATCAACTAGGTGATAATCGAAGGCATGTTTCGGACATATACCGGGTGGCCCATGGAAGACTATCCACGCCAGTCTTCTCCTTTGTGTTGCAATTAATGAAAAACCGCTCTGACAGGTCGATTTCCATTTTGCCCGGGACCTATTTTTCTGCAATTATCATTTTACAAAGTTGAAATTTTGAAGTGCAACGGGTATCAACTTTCGATTTTCGAATTTGTATTTTTAGATTATCCCTGTAGAGCTGATTTCATCAATGTCTCACACTTGGGGTCTAGCGGCAATAATTTAAAAAATCTTAAAGTTGAGAAATCTCTATTTTGAACAGCCTATATCTCTGTATTCATTCCCGCTAGACCCCAAGTGCGATACGTTGATGAATTCAGCTCTTCTAAAGATTCAATGATTTACAAGGTGTTCCATTTGAAAATCGAAAGTTGTTATTATTATTATGTCTGTTACGCTTAAAGGTTTCAGCTTTTGAATATGATAATTATTGCAGAAATTGGTCCAAATTTTAATCCAAATTGGAAGTCCTGCTCTTTAATTTTTCACCGAACACAATAAAATTGCCATTAAGATCCCATATTATACATTCGGGACTTGGTTTTTGTCATCGCTCTGAGTCGGGAGATGATCTTGTTGTATGTTTGTTTCTTATGAGGCATTCAACTATGAGGACGTTTCTTTCGGCTTTTAGCTAACTCTAGGACTTTTAAGTCTTGATTGGAAATCTCTTTTTCGGTTTTTATACCATAGGTTAAAATTTGGAATTTTTTTAAATACTTGACAAGTAATCTACACAAGAAGAGAGAAACTATGAATGGATGAATGATTATATCTATCGTATCAATATGGGAGAGTTTTTGAATGCCGACCGGTCGTGACAAATTTTGACCACACTCCGACCACAGGGTTTTTGATTGATGACCACATTGACCAAACTTCAAATAGTAAAGTTTTTTTTGTGAAGACCAATGCCGACCAATCCAAGATCACTTCGCCCGGGCTTTTTGATGGTCGATGCGGTTGGATATGAAGTATAACCTCAAAACAATCAAATTAACCGAAATATGAGAAAGGGCATCTACAGTCTTCAAAATTGAGTAACTTGAACTGCTTATATTTCAACAAAAATAGCATTACATCATTGGATGAGTCACTTGGTGTATTATTTCTATTATATGCAGTTCAAAATTATTATTTCATTCAACAAAATCTGTCTCGAGAAATTCAATAATTCATACCTATAGCATCCTATAGTATAGATGATTCCTAATATATCTGGTTTTTAAGATGCCAGGTAATGTGTTATTTTCGGTATATTATCAAATGATCAGTGAACTTGACGGTTTTAAAGGTTTTTGTATACAAGCGAACGGTCGAAACTGTTCGTATTTGCCATTGTGATTAGTCACGTGACACTAACGACCAGTCGGTCAAGCCGGTCGACAACCAAAACTCTACTTATAAGAAAAGTTTCGGTTTCCTTGCATCATCAGTTGCGCTAGGCCAGCCGACGTTCGAAATTGTATTATATTTTTTGCCTTTTGCTTTCGTCTCATCAACATTTTTTATAGTAGAAGAGAGCACGAAGAATATCGTGAAGACGGCTTCGATGGCCGTGGGCTCTTTGAAGGACACCGAGTTCGACATCAGGTTCAACCCTGACGTCTACTCGCCGGGACTGAAACATTGCGAAAATTCCGATCCGCCGATTGCCAAACAACGCCAGCTGGTCAAGGACGCTGCCGAGTTTTTGCTGACAGTGCAAATTCCAACATTCGTAAGACTATTTTTTTTAACTTGACGTTTGAAATAACACAAGTAAATCTCCATGATGACCACTGTTCCAGATTTCGGCTTACTCTTCGGACTTGAGTTCGGTCTACGCTTGAGGTCGGGGGTGGGGGGCAATTGATATTGTTAGTCTCTTCGGGACTATCAACTTGAGTTGGACATCCCTGGGGCTTAACGACTATAGGACGAGTCCGAATTGAGCGTCCTGCTTCTTAAATTTCACTTATCACACAAAATTTTAATCAAGTTAATATTTAGGATTCCAATTCGGTCTTCGCTCTAAGTCGGGAAATGTTTTCCTAGTGTGTTTGTTTTTTATGAGGCATTCGACTTTGAAGGTGTTTTCTTTGTGTTTCAGATTGAACGCTAGTCCTAAGTCCTGAATGGAAATCTTTCCTTTCAGTTTTTCCATATAGGATTTTACTCATAGGCCCGGAATGAAGTTCACTTACTCTTATTTTATTATTCAAAATTCTAAAATAGATTCTTTGCTCACAATGTCAATCAAGCTCTATTCTACCTTTAACGAGAAAGAGGAAAGTTCTCTCCTCTTCCATCTTCCTCCTCAATGCTACCAACCTGGCCGCATTGAAATATAGAGAGATCCGATAAATCTTTCCTTGTCTAGTCTCTAGTCTTCGCCACTGAACTATTTTTATAATAACACGTCACTCCACTTGACGGTAACAACTTGAACTCTGAGCGGTTTGTTTTGATGATGTGTCCAATAAACACAAACAAAAAACAAATGTGAACTAACGAAAACAAAGTAAACATGCTGCTTTGACAGCTTTCAAGACCTCCGATAGGTGGCGTTCGCTTATTTTCTATCGCGAATAATGATATTATTTCTTTCTGAACTGACATGTCTCACTTAGTCTAACCTGAATCAGTTAACATGCATTTTAACTAATCAAATTCTTTCAAAATAACACATAATAACTGATTCAGTAGAGTTCTTTCCCTTAATTCTAATAAGACCCAATATATAATTTTCCATCAAAGAACACACACACAAAACAAAATATTGATTGGAATATCAGAATAAGAAATGAAAGATTGAAACAAACTGCCTATACCAAATACCTTGGTATTTGGATTGATGAAAAGTTAACATGGAACAAGCATATTGGCATGCTCAAAGAAAAAATTTCCCCCATAGTTGGTGTCTTAATAAGATGTCCAAAACTTTTCCCAAATATAGCAAATACCGTTCTATACTATCACATCCTTAGTAAAATGAACTATCTCATAAATATTTGGGGTTCATGTTCCAAGAATAATTTCAACAAAAAAACCGTACTATATAAAAAAGCACTAAAAGTACTGTATCGTCTTCCATATGACACCCCATCAAATCAACTTTTTGAAGAAACAAATACATTTTCTTTGGAAGAGCACTATCTGATAAATACTCTCAAAATTTCTCTTGATATAATCAACAAACACCTCAAATCTAACTTCATATTGGTAAGGAATTCTCAAATCCATGAACATCATACTAGACAATATGACTTGTTTCATCTTGATGCTGCTCATTCTATACTTGGTCAAAAAAAGTTCACTCACGGAGTTATCTCGAAATTCAATAAATTACCTGATGATATCAAAAGTTGCACAAATATCACCCAATTCAAAATCAAAGTCAAGAAACATATCCTCTTGCAAAGAGAAAATCAAACCTGAGTGAATGATTTCTCATTGACTAATTTATTTCATCATGTCATAATGTACTTTTCATGAGCTTTTTGTTTTATTATTATTTTTTGTTTTTGATTCTGTTGTTTATTTCAATAACTATAATTTAATTTGATAACGCATGAATAATCTCATACCAGATATGAATCTGTCTGATTATTCATGTTATTCCATTGTAAATGTTGATGATTATATTTATATTTATATGAGATGCAATGTAATGTTTATAGCAAAGAATGAAATGAATAAATAAATAAATATTGAAAAATATTTCAGTGAGTTCAGATTATAAAGATGTGATGTCTATGTCATGAATGTCATTGACTGATAACCTTTCAAATTTTTGAAATAAAATTACAGATTATATCATACTCATTTTAACATCTTTCGTTAATATCGTTAATTTGACACTGTTGAATTCAAAAATAGTTGAGTGGCACAAACGTTAGACAAGGACGTTGATAGCGATAGCGATAGCGAAGAGAAAGATGGAAGAGGAGAGAAATTTCCTCTCTCTCTCTCTAGTTCAAAGTAGAGAAGAGCTCAATTCTTGTCTATTCTCTGTGATCACTATGTCATTTGTCTACTTCAAATCCATATCAATTAATTCATGGACATTTACACTGATAGTCCAAGAGACAGCGACCAAATCACTGGGTGATCGCATTGTGGCAGGAAAAATTATATAATGTAGTCCGGAACGTGTATTATATGAAACCCGGTGACTGCCAGCTCGGGCATTTTGCGTTTGTTAATTGAAAAAAGTAACTCGAACTCGAGTTTATGAGTTACTGGAACCACTAAAGATGGTTCTTAGATGTTGACAACGAAAGTCCTTTGTTACTTGAATGAAAAGGCCTATTCAGTTGGTTTTCTTTTCGAATTAGAATAACTTCGTCTGATTTATTGTTATGGAAATAATCTTCTCAGCATTTTAGAAAGTCATCTTCATTTCCTCATTGGTATCACATGTTTTCATTAGTATTTTAGTCTTAGTCGAATAGAATCTCCTGAACTGCAGTGTTTTATAGATTCGGGATTGTTTGGATCACTCTTCGGCCCCCATGGATGGCGTGACTCTGTCAGAAGCGATGCATAACAGGGGTATCAATATCAGGTATCTCGGAAAAGTTACGAATTTGTTGGCCAAAGTGAAGCAGCTAGAATACCTCCATAGTATTGCTGTTTCGGAATTGCTGATGCGTTCTGCTAAGCATATTTTTACTGTTTATTTACAGGTATGTTGAAAATATCATTTGAAATATACCTCATCTTGAATTATCTTATATTTTTCAGGGCTGTGAAATGATGAATTTGTCTGTAGCTGTTTCACACTTTTTGAATTGTTTGTTGTATTCTGGAACAATTTCTAATCCCTTGCAAGGACAGGACGAGGTAAATATAAGTTTGTTTGAAAGTGATTGACAACGTCTATAATTAAACAGAGTTCTTTCCGACTTTCATTGTCTAGGAATAGAATCACAAAAAAGATTTTTTTTCTATCATTCAAGTATACTTGGGACCCTGAAACAGTACTATTCAATTTTTATCAAAATACAGTGCACCATGAACAGACTAAAAAAATGGTGGTCCATATTTGAAAAAAAGTGACATAAGTGGTTACTTTTGCAAACACAATGCTTGTACCCCACTGACAAATGAATGAGCAGTAGCTATTTCCCGTCGTCTTGAAAATACCACAGATCTAGCCCGCTTATTTTTGAACCGATTTCAAAATTTCGAAAATCATCTGAAATGATTTTTCAGAATTCTTTTTCCACTGAATCAGAAAATACAGGGAGTATTTCATTTCATTTTAAATTCTTCTTGAAGAGCTGATTTCATGTATACATCACACTTGGGATCTAGCGAGAAGGCGCTACGTGTCGGGAGACAACACAACCTGGAGCTAAAATCTACTACTTTTTTCCCTTGTATAATAAATAACTATTTTTTGAATATCAGGTAATAAACTGGGCGTCAAATTAAGGACACCATCAATTTCATTTTTAGTCAAATATTGATCACCTTGTATATTTCTGATACATTTCTTCAAAGAAATTGTGTAGGAGGTTATTTATCGAATGTATTCGATTGGTCTGCCGAGCATTGTATACAGGGTGTCCGGGAACATGTGGGAAATCTCCCGGATATGAAGAAAACACGTGAAAAGAATACTATAAGTTCATATAAACTTCTTTTGTATCGGCCTCCTCTTCGGAGATATGGGCTCCCAAAGAGCTCCCATGGAATTAAGTTTTTGACACATAATTCTTGAACCAACAGGTATATTTCAATTTTTTTTTAATATGATGTATACTAGGTAAGACTCTTCAAATTACTATCCAAGAAAGTGTTGCGAATTACTCACAGCTCCAGGGACGGACTAGCTGTGACACTCATGGGCCCATTTTTTTTACGCCCTGTATGATAAGAACTCTGGACAACGTTTTTTACATACCTCTAACTATTGACTAAAAATTAAGTACTCTTCATTCATGTCGCTAATCATAACCGTTTTCGGAAAAACGTCATTTTATTTATATCATGTATTTAGCGTATTTCGATAAAAGATACTTTTTTTTCGAGTTACCTTTGCAAACGTTGCTAGGTTAGAAATAAATGAATATCCTTCATTTTAGAACTTGTCAACTTTCACATTACTGATACATTGATTCCTTATTACTTTGATATTTGATTTTTGAATTTCGTTGTGAAATTAATTGTGAAATAATTCGAAATATGGAATACACGTTTATTGAGTATGCAGATATGCATCTGATGTATGGTCTTGCATCTTCCAATGCTTTGGAAGCCAGAAGGTTATATCACGACAGATTTCCTAATCGCACTCTTCCAGATCAGAAGACATTTCAACGAGTTGACCAACGTCTAAGGGAGAATGGTGGGCGATTCTTCTTAATAAGGTATAATAAGGTAATGTTATTTACTTCTTTCATAATTTTAGGAAATTTTGGAAAAAGAAGTAATAATACTGGTCAGGGAAGAACAGTACGTACGCCGCAATTAGAGGAAAATATTTTAAATGCTGTATATGATACTCCTTCAACGAGCACTCGAAAATTATCAGCGCAGTTTAATGCGTCGAAAACAATAGTACATGAAGTTCTTCAAGAACAACTGTTATACCCATATCATTTGCAAAAAGTGCATGAACTGATTCCTGAAGATTTTCCCCGTAGAATGCATTTTGCAAACTGGCTATTGGATCAGCAACGAAATAATGTAAACTTCATTAGCACTATTCTCTTCACGGATGAAGCAGGTTTTACCAAAAATGGTATCATGAATTTACATAACACCCATGTATGGGCTGATGAAAATCCTCATGCCACTATTGTTTCGCATCGCCAACATCAGTTCCAATCAATTAATGTCTGGGCAGAAATCGTTGGCAATTTTTTGATTGGACCATTCGTATTGCCGGCACGATTGAATGGAATACTTTATTTGGAGTTCCTCCAGAACGCTTTTAATGATTTAGTCGAGCACTTACCACTTGAAACCCGCCGAAACATGTACTTTATGCATGATGGGGCACCACCTCATTTCAGCGTTGCTGTGCGGGAGCACCTGAATAACGTCTATCCAAACCGTTGGATAGGTAGAGGAGGACCTATTGCCTGGCCTCCTAGATCTCCCGACCTAACGCCATTAGATTTTTACCTGTGGGGACACCTCAAAACCTTGGTGTATTCCACTCCGGTCGATACTAGGGAGGAACTTCTACGGAGAATCACGTTTCATTGTGATGTGATAAGGAACAATGCTGGGTTATTGTGGCGGGTACAGCAGTCCTCAATTCGTCGTGCTCGCGAGTGTATCAGACTTCATGGAGCCCATGTTGAACCCTGTTACGAAGTTTTTAACTAAGCAGTTAAAGTTCAACTTTTTATTGAAACTATGTTGGTTACCGTGGAAAATTACGCTAAATACATGATATAAATAAAATGACGTTTTTCCGAAAACGGTTATGATTAGCGACATGAATGAAGAGTACTTAATTTTTAGTCAATAGTTAGAGGTATGTAAAAAACGTTGTCCAGAGTTCTTATCATACAGGGCGTAAAAAAAATGGGAGCCCATATCTCCGAAGAGGAGGCCGATACAAAAGAAGTTTATATGAACTTATAGTATTCTTTTCACGTGTTTTCTTCATATCCGGGAGATTTCCCACATGTTCCCGGACACCCTGTATGTTTTACTAGCAAACCTTCTGCAACTTGAATTAGCCAGTCATTTATGGTTTCAAATACAATTGATGTTTCAGAGTAAAAACAATAAAAAAAGGAACAAAAGGCGAGGTAGGATGAACCCGTTCGCATGCAATGACAACAACGAGTGGGCTAATCTGACAGCGAAATCTCTGTGGAACCAACTGAAATCAGAGCTGAAATCTTACTTCGACTATGAACTGCAATCCAGTGACGTAGACTCGACTCTTGAAACGTATTTTCTGCAAAAAATCTCCCTCCTACGATCTTTCTGCTTGAAAACTGGTATCCAAATCCTATTGAGGTAATATATTGATAATAATAATACATGATACGAAATTATTTTCTTTCGATACTTCTGCAACTGTTGATACATACATATATGTGAATAAGTGCGGCAAACTTCAGGGGGGTTATTCCCTGTAATATTTTAGGAAATAAATTTCATATAAACGTGTGTCCTAACTTGTTTCGTTTTGAGATACAGGATGTTGAAGTTGGAAGTATTATTTTTTTATATACCGGGTGTCCCAGTATACCTGTTCCAATGAATTATCCCAGCCATTTGGAAAATTAAAAATTCATAGTTCATGATCTCCAATTCGTTCAAGGAAGCTCCCACTGAGAAAAACAATTGAAAGGCACTTCCGGTTTGAACGGAAGTGACTCTAACTTTTTCATTTCAAATAGCACCCTGTAAATTTTTTGCAATTTTTGATTTCTACTCAAAATTACCGTATCACACTTCGTATTTCAAATTTGATTTGATGGAGAAAACGACAATTGAAATTTCAAATTGAACAAATTGCAGTAGGCTACGATATTTTTGTAATCTTGATTTTGACTTCAATAATAATTTCAAATTATTAGAATTGTAGTAGATCATGTAATTTTCAAATGTTCATCTTTTGAAATGGCTGAGATAATCTATTGGAACAGGTATACTGGGACACCCGGTATAACCCCCCTGTATAAGCTTTTATGGTGCCAAAATTCAGTATTCGCGATAGAAAAAAAACACGTCACCCCGCCTGACGGCAACAACTTGAAAACTTCTGAGCGCATTGTTTTGAAGATATGACCAATAAGCACAAAAAAAAACAAATGTGAACCAATGAAAACAAAGTAAACATGCCGCTATGACACCATTCAAGAACTCCTTTAGGTGGCATACGCTTATTTTCTATCGCGAGTGGTTAGAGATTGACAAAACCCCAAAATTTCAAATCGATTATTATTGATGGTATTGGGTAATCTCAATGGGTGTCTAGCACTAACATTAACATTGTTTAGTCAAATCGAACTTTTATTGTTTTCTCAAAAATCAGTCGAGATACGAAATTTATTTCAATTGGAAATGTTATTCTCAATCTGATTACACGAAAAGAAGGTCCATGTTACTATTGAGAAAACTATTTTGAGTAATGAATAAAACAACTACATTTAATGGAAATATGAATACCCTATATTTCGACAACCATGCAAGTTAGAACACATGTTTATATGAACTTTTTCACACATTCATATTGTTTACGACCAAGGTGTATATTACATTTTTTTCACCACTAGCAATATATTTCAATCCTTATAGCTCTGTGAATCTGAAATAGGACCTATTGTCACTATGAAAGCACTTCTTGTCAATTCTAATTGAACATAATGACAGCATAATGACAAGTCGTTATTGATAAACTAGTAGATTCAAGTGCCATTCTTGTGAATCAGAACAGTGAATTCACTTGAATTATAACAGAGGTGGTTATGTCTCTTTATTGACTAGTGGTTCATGAAATGACGAAAACCACCTTGGTGGAAAGAACACACTTTATGCTTTGAAAAGGTGAGTAATGGTAGGTTCTACGGCTAGTGGTGGAACATAGTTTTATACACCAAGGTAGTAAATAATATCAGTATTACCCAGGGACCAAGATTATATCCCGAGGCAATAATATTCTTTTCCGTCGACCTCGTATTAACGACTAAGTTTAATGTATATGAAATCGTTCATTAATGACCCCTATTAATGAACGATTTGTCTATTAATACACGATTGTTTTATAGGCAACCGAACATACACCGCGTGCATTCATTGTTTATGCTATAACTTACGGAATCTGCATTTAAATCGAAAATATGGATTTCATCGAAGATTTTCCGTTAACGGGTTCGCCTTTCCAAGTTTCTGACACGATATTAATCCCTGTTTTCCAACACAAGGAATTTATTTTGTATGTTGATCATTTCGACAAATTTCAAATGTCACTAATGTCAGTAACAAGGCTACTGGGTGATTCTTAGCAGTTTCCGGATGAATGATGAATTCGCAAGCCAAGTTTTCTTCATTGCAGGAGAAATGAGAAATATAGTCGACGGAAAAATTTTGTAACCAACTTGTATATTAAAAGGCGATTAATGATCTCGAACATTAACGCGCTCGCTTCACTCGCATAAAATATCTCAATCATTAATCGCCCTTATTAATACACTAGTTGGTTAAATAACTATTACTAACATAGTGTATTTTTTTTTCACCACTATAACAATACCGGGTGTCCCAGTATACCTGTTTCAATGAATTATCTCAGCCATTTCGAAAATTAAAAATCCGAAAATTTCATGTTCTTCAATTCGTTCAAGGAAGCTTCTACTGAGAAAAACAAAAATTGAAAGACACTTCTGGTTTGACCGGAAGTGACTAACTTTTTTATTTCAAATAGCACCCTGTATATTTTTTGCAATTTTTTATCTCTACTCAAAATTACCGTTGCCAGGATGCATCACACTTCATATTTTGAATTTGATTTGATGGATAAAACGACAATTGAAATTTCGAATTGAACGAATTGCAAAAGGCCACGATATTTTTGTAATCTTGATTTTGGCTTCAATAATAATTTCAAATTATTAGAATTGCAGTAGATCATGTAATTTTCAAATTTTCATCTTTTGAAATGGCTGAGATAATCAATTGGAACAGGTATACTGGGACACCCGGTATAGTTCAATCATTATAGTTCAGTGAAACTGAAACAAAAACCCATTGTCACTATCAAAGCACTCCTTTTCAATTTTAATTAAAATCTAGTAGCCATGACCGTGACAGCATTTATGACAAGTCTATTGATAAATACCTACTAGATTCAAGTGCCATTCCTAAGAATATCGCATCAGAACAGAACATGTGGTTATGTCATTGATTAATGGTTAATAAAATGACGAAAACTACCTTGGTAATAAAAACACACCTTACGTCTTGAAAAGGAGTAAATAATGGAAGGTTTTATAGCTAGTGGTGGAAATAGCTATTTGTGTATTTAGAGCGCAAAGTGATAGATTGCCGCTCGACAAAGAAAGTTACCGCGCGATGCGGAGCGTTGCGTGGTAATCTTTGGAGAGCGGCAATGACACTTTGTGCTCGAAATACACACAAGATTTTTTATACTAACGCAGCTTTTGAAAATAACTACCCTGAAAGTATGAGCGATTGGAATAGTTGAAAAAGTTCTTATCCATATTATCACATTATGTCCAAAGGAAACAAAAAAAGAAAAATTGAAATAACTGACAAGCCAGAAAAAAAAATGTCGGGCCCACCGAGAATTGAAACTGGACCACCAGCGTGACAACCTGTGCTTCAGTCCTCTGGGCCATAGTACGATAAACTCTGCAATTGAATTGAACATTACTCATTAATGCAATAAAATAAAGATACACTGTCTTTCTGATGACAACAAAGAGTTTAAATATAAAGTATAATTCATCGTTTTCAATAGATATGCTTCATCGGGAGCATCTTGTAGAAATTTGTTGGTTTATATCCTTGAGAAATGCGATAAGTTTCAGATACCTATTGATTCCGATATTATCTTTAACATTCAAGCATGTATACGTATACCATCGAATATATAGACCAATGAGTTGATGACTTCAAAGTCTTTGATTTTTTACCAAAATAAGCCAGTAAAACTTTTTCTGAATTCATATTCACCATCTCGGAGTGGCACCAATTTATGAATGTATCATATTGTAATTCATATTTCTTTCTTGATTTCTCCGGTAAGATATTCAAACTCTTGCGCTTTCTGCTATATCATCAGGAAGGAGGTGTGTTTGATGATTCACTGTCACTATTTCCCATCATGAAAGAATTGGGGGTTTTCAAGAATAGATAAGTATAGGTTACAGAGATGTGCGAGCGTTTTTTCAATATTTCCGCTCACGAGCGCAAATGCTGTCAAAGAATGACATTTCTGGGAAAACGTCAACTTTGTGCTGGAATTTGAAAGCGTCAAAGGCTACTTTGTTGAGCGTTTGTAGAAAAAGTACATTTTATAAAACATATTGTCGCACTTTTAATTTCAAACGACGTGTGATAAAATAGTGTACCTTATAAAGCAAGTATACTATATTTTTTCTCTTCCATTTCCAGAGACTACAACTTCGATTCGAAAAACAAACTGATCTTCTACGAGGAGGACATCTTGTGCATCTTCCCCATCGTGAAGCACATCAATCCGCGAGCGACGGACGCCTACAACTTCTACACGACCGGCCAGAACAAGATCCAGCAGGGCTACCTCAAGGACGGATACGAGCTGATCAGCGAGGCGCTCAACCTGCTCAACAACGTGTACGGCGCCATGCATCCGGAGATTGCGCAGTGCCTCAGGATGATCGCCAGGTGGATATATTCATTTTTCTACTCACATAACTAATAATAATAATAATCTTTTTTCTGTGACGGGAAAAAAGTTCGGCATTTCATCTCTGTTGGCAGGTTATAAAATGTCACTTTTCATAAATTACTTTTTTCCCGTGGGCAAAAAGTGAGTACTTTTTTCCCGGATATATATCACAAATATATACTCTGTTAATGGCTTATGTTGTGCTATAGTTCCGAAAAATGAGTCAACAATACCGTCTCCGAGAAAGAACTGCAAGTCCTTTTATCTTCCATTCGACTTCGCGGTTTCCTATATTACTAAACAACTACTGAATTCGCAATTTTTCAAAATCAAATCACAGAATTGAACTGACAGAAGTGACATCAGATATTTGATTACTTCAAAAGAATGATAAAGATGCCTTAAAACGCAGGTGTCCCTACTATTAAAAACTTGAAATTTCACGTCGATAATTTTCAGATTTCGAAATAATGTAATATCTTCTCAATATTGATTCGTCCTTCCTTCTGTCACAGAAAAAAATAGTGTATTATACACGGGAAAAATATTAGATTTTAGCTCACGGTTTTTTGTCTCCCTCCGCTACGCGTCCGGAGAAATAAAAACCTGGAGCTAAAATCTACTACTTTTTTCCCTTGTATAATAAATAACTATTTTTTTTCTCAAAAACATAAATAGTTTTTGGGAAGGGACGATTCTTGGGTTTTTGGATTCGTGGTATATAATAATTATATATCATTTGAAACGTGTCGCCTATGGCCATATGCTTTTTCAATCTTTAATACTAGTGGTTATACATGAGATTTTTTTTATATAAAAAACTGGTCTGGAAAAAATTGAAAAAAAAGAGATCAGTAGGTAGACATTCTTTTTTAATTATTATAGGTACGTACCTCAACCAGAGCTATTGTTTTATATCCATTATTCTATGGTTTTGTGTTACTTTTTGTTCATAATGATAATTATTATGATTCTGCATTGGAGGATGAGGAAATTGTGTAATTTTTGGTTGCATGTGTGACAACAGGTGACAACTGTGACATTCGATTTCTGGCATGTGACATGGGACTATAGAATGTTGTATTATTCAGTGTTGGTGGCAGTGGTAGATGCTACGACAGCCGTGTTCGTATTGGTGGTGACTATTTAAAATGAATTCAAATTTTTTGTATAATTTTTTTTGGGCGGCAGAGTTATTTTGTTTGAAAATTGACAGAAAATTTATTTATTTTCTTTATAGATTTTTTTTGTATTTGAAAGTATTGGTTATATGATAGTATGATAGATGTTACTTAGGTTGCTTATGTCAGTTCTATCGTTCATTGTGTTGTTATCTTTTTTAATGTAAATCATTTTTGATACATCTTTCGTAGTAGTTTGTTTCATGTGTTAGTATTTTGACTTGATTGTTATTTACTGTTATCAACAAAACCATAAAACACAGAGTACATAGATTTTACAACAAATCACAGTATAAAAAAATTGAAGAATTTAACATACTCAATACTATTTCAATACCATACATAAACGGACTATCACAAAAAATCACACACGTCTTATCAAAATTCGATATAGACATAAGCCACAAAGCACATAACACCACAAAACAATTTTTTACAAAACTAAAAAGCAAAACACCACTATTGAAAAATTCTAATTTAGTATACTCAATCCCATGTAATGATTGCAATAAAACCTACATTCCTACATAAATGACGACACAGTATTTAGAAAAAAGATTGAAAGGACATCATTATAGCACACAAAATCCAACAGCACTTACAAAACACTTAACTGAAAATAACCACACAGTAAATAACAATCAAGTCAAAATACTAACACATGAAACAAACTACTACGAAAGATGTATCAAAAATGATTTACATTAAAAAAGATAACAACACAATGAACGATAGAACTGACATAAGCAACCTAAGTAACATCTATCATACTATCATATAACCAATACTTTCAAATACAAAAAAAATCTATAAAGAAAATAAATAAATTTTCTGTCAATTTTCAAACAAAATAACTCTGCCGCCCAAAAAAAATTATACAAAAAATTTGAATTCATTTTAAATAGTCACCACCAATACGAACACGGCTGTCGTAGCATCTACCACTGCCACCAACACTGAATAATACAACATTCTATAGTCCCATGTCACATGCCAGAAATCGAATGTCACAGTTGTCACCTGTTGTCACACATCCAACCAAAAATTACACAATTTTCAAGAAAAAACATTGAACACGTTTTCACGATTTCCTCATCCTCCAATGCAGAATCATAATAATTATCATTATGAACAAAAAGAAAAACAAAACCATAGAATAATGCATATAAAACAATAGCTCTGGTTGAGATACGTACCTATAATAATTAAAAAAGAATGTCTACCTACTGATCTCTTTTTTCAATTTTTTTTTATATAAAAAAAAAATTCTCATGTATAACCACTAGAATTAAAGATTGAAAATGCCTATGGCCATAGGCGAAACGTTTCAAATGATATAATATATAATTATTATTTACCACGAATCCAAAAACCCAAGAATCGTCCCTCCCCAAAAACCATATAGAAGGATTCAAGAATGCATTAAAAAAGGTATCCATATATGTTTATAGCAGGGAATATTATGAAAGAGCAACTAAAAAAAATTAAAAACAAAATTAGATAATCAGATAATCATTTTTAAATCATATACATAGTACATTTAATGTTGTTTCTTCTAGAGACTGTTGAATATAAGTTCTTGAATTTATTTAGGATGATATTAAATAATCAACGACATCAGCATTTTTTCAGTTCTTTTTTGAATTTCTCAACACTTAATTTTTTCTTCAGTCGGGCAGGTAATCCATTGTAGAGAATTGTTCCATTGTATAAAATAGATCTTTTACCCATATCTGCTGATTTTGAGTTCGTAATAACTAAAATGGCATTTAGCGTACGGATATGTATCACACTAAATGATCGATTAATCACAGATCGATGATGTGATTAATTCAAAAAATTGAACACATTACCATGGCAACACAATTTCTTGAACACAGTACTTTGGCAACTTACTTTTTTAAACACACCTTCAGTCGTTCGAGTCCTGTCCGGTCTGTCAATTGTAGGAACTGTCAACTGTTATTTTTGAATTTCCTTGCAATCGGAATTATTCAAACAATTTCTGTTTGTATTAGAATTCTTCATAAAAAATGTATTCGAAATGTAGATGATAGTGAAATCAAAGAGAATGTTTAAGGTAGGTACCTACTTGCATATTTCCAAGAAGAAGGTGAAAATGAAGCTCTCATCTTTGTGGGCAATTCATTCTATGCTAAGCATGACAATAAACGTAAAACACAATATTAATTTAAGCAAAATTATGCAATCAGAATATACATACAAACCTGAGAAATCGGAAACTTTGACATCTCAGCGAATCGAAGAGTTTTTATCTACTATGTCAAATGAAATCTGATTCACAAAGGTAAGTAAACAAGCCATTTCGATAGAAATTCATGTAATGGGCTGGACGCACATCTACAACCATTATAACTTATATGTGTTGGTTGCATGCAGTTGCAAAGTATTATGTATCATGTTCACAATTCCAAAAAAGTTGCAAAAAAGTGATATTCTGAGTGGTGCACTTGGTTTCTGTATATTACGTAGCAAGGACATAAAAAAATTCTCCTGGAAACATGTAACATATTAAATTATCAATGTCACAATAGTCAAAATACATTACTGGATGTGCATTTTCAGGTTGAATTACATTATGGGGGAACATGTAGAAGCAATGGCCTACCAGCAGAAAGCTGTTTTGATGTCAGAGAGAGTGAATGGGATAGATCATCCATACACCATAACCGAATATGTGAGTTCAGCAAATACATTTATTTTCAGTGAAACCGATTGACCTGAGACATTCAAATTCTATATCCATTTTTTTTACAATGGTAATGTTTACGGAAAACTTTTGAAACATTCTGTATTGTAATGGCGAAAACGCTTCTATATCCAACCTATTTTTTCTAAGATGAAATGTTTATTTATAAAAAAAATTGTCATCACTATTTACAAAATTATTGACGGTTTGTGAGTTCTGTTTCAAAACTTACAGTAACAATGCCATTGAGAGAAACATAATATATGAAGATGATAGTGTGAAATATCCAACGGAAAAGATGAAATCAATTAAAATATTCAGGAGTGGAAAGCTCATAGACACCAGTGCCAGAGAATACTGATCAGTCAACACACCTTCCTTCCTTCCTTCCTTCCTTCCTTCCTTCCTTCCTTCCTTCCTTCCTTCCTTCCTTCCTTCCTTCCTTCCTTCCTTCCTTCCTTCCTTCCTTCCTTCCTTCCTTCCTTCCTTCCTTCCTTCCTTCCTTCCTTCCTTCCTTCCTTCCTTCCTTCCTTCCTTCCTTCCTTCCTTCCTTCCTTCCTTCCTTCCTTCCTTCCTTCCTTCCTTCCTTCCTTCCTTCCTTCCTTCCTTCCTTCCTTCCTTCCTTCCTTCCTTCCTTCCTTCCTTCCTTCCTTCCTTCCTTCCTTCCTTTTCCTTCCTTCCTTCCTTCCTTCTTCAGTGTGGGCTTAACCTTTTCAGTTATTTACCCAGATTCTTCTTAAGGGTGAAGCTGCACGTGAATGCGTCTGATCCTGTGATCATCACTTCCTCCCTGTGGTAACATGCAACATAATAGGGCCATAATTATAAAAGTTTCATGTTTATAGATTTAAGCTACATGGAAACGATTAGAGCTGAGTAAGCAGAGGGGTTTCTAAGCAGGTCTTCTACTGATAAAGCAGAAAGGATTGGGGTACTGTGACGGGATATCATTTTTTTGTACAGTATATTTGAGTTGTATATGTGGTTGGGGCATTCCAATAAAATGTGTTGTAGACTTCCAGTCATACCACATTCGCATCTTGGTGAGTCTTTAATTTTGATCTTGTGAAGGTGTTCCGGTGTGAGACAGTGCCCGGATCTCATTCTGCATATTGTGGAGGAGATTTCTCTATTGACTTCTATCGTGTGGAACCAGGGTTTTTTCGGAAATGTTTCTAAAAGGTTGAATAGGGTTTTCCCTTTAATTTCGCATAGTTCAGTCCATTCCTCGGTCCAGGCCTCTTGTATTCTTTTCTTGACTCTAGGAAGAAGGTCTCTATAGTCTAGCTTCCTGTAGTCCACCCTTATTTTGCTTGTGCTTAGCTTGGCTACTTGATCTGCCTTGTCGTTTCCTGGTATATTTGTGTGGCTAGGTATCCATCCCAGATTGATTTTAATTTTGTTTTGGGCTGCCTTTTTTATCAAGCTTCTTGTAATGAGAGTGGAGTTGTCTGAGTTGGGGTTAATACCAGTCCTAGCTAGTTTTTGAAGTGAGCTTAGCGAGTCTGTTAGAATAAAGGGTTTTTCAATTTTAAAGTCAATTGCTTTTTTTACCGCTGTCGCCAGACCCAGCATTTCGGCTGTGCAAATAGGTGAGTCATCCTCAATTCTGACATTTATATTGTAGTTGAGAGAGGGTATGTGGACTCCAAGTCCCACTCTGGAGTTCATTGACGATCCATCTGTAGATATGAGTGTTTGATCTGGCCATTTTTCTTTTATAATCCTTCTAAAATCCATGTTGTTATCCTTGTCGTATTTTTTTAGCCCTAAGTCCTGGAAATGAATATTCATCATTTGAGTGTCATAGTCATAGGTAAAGCAAAGTAGATTTTCGTGTTTCTGGATTTCTTCAATATAAGGTAGTGCTCTGTCCATCCCTTCGATGATCTTCAAGTCCATTTGGATTGTTGGTACAAAGTTGTGAGTATAGGTTAATGAGGGAGGAGATTATTGGATTGTCTGTCAGGGAAAGGTTTTTTAGTATGAATTTGGAAGCTAGCCAAGTTCGCCGGTGCCGAAGTGGCCACTCGGCGTTCTCAGCCAACAGAGAAGTTATTGGGGTGCTTTTCATAGAACCCAATATCAACCTGAGACCTTGGTATTGTACTTTATCTAGTTTATGTAGCATTTGCTTTGATGAATTGAATACCAGCATCATTCCGAAATCTAAGTGTGACCTGACTAGGCTCTTGTATATCATGCTCAGTATCTTTGGGTCAGAGCCCCACCAAACTCTCGTAAGTGATTTCATTACATCTATACCTTTTTGCGCTTTGGAGCATATATTATTTATGTGATCTGTGAATTTCATATTGCTGTCGAATGTGACCCCTAAATATTTGAATGACTTTTTCAGTGGAATCGGTTCATTATTGTATTTGATTTGGGGGATTTGTTTAACTATTTTCCTTTTTTTGAATAAGAGTGTTGCCGACTTGTTTGCTGCAATGCTAAACCCGTGGTCTACAATCCAGCTTGATAATTTGTTTAATGACTGATTTAATTGGGATGACATAAGTCCTACGTCCCTCCCCGTGGTTACCAGTGCAATATCGTCTGCATAGATTAACAGGTCTACCTCGTCTGAAGATATCTCTCTGATGGAGTTTACATATATGTTAAAAAGTAATGGGCTCAGAGAGGAGCCTTGTGGCACCCCTGTCTCCACACGACCTCTCTCTGAGGTTTTCCCCGATCGGCTGTCTTTGATTACTATTTCTCTAACTGAGTATAATTGCTGAATTATATTAATGATATCGACATCAACCTCTAATGTTGCCAACTTTTCAAGTAAGCGAGGGACTACTACATTGTCATAGGCTGCTGATAGGTCTAGGAAGACCACCATAGTAGCTTCGTTTCTGCTAAATGATTGAAAGATTTTAGCAGTAAGCCAGACCAGGTTCTCGTTGGTGCCCCTTCCTTTCCTGAAGCCAGATTGGGGGTGAAACCAATTTCTGTTTTCCAGATGGTATTCCAGTCTATTCTTTATCAAGGTCTCTAATATTTTACTAAAACACGATGATAGGGCAATGAATCTATAGTTTGATGTAACATTCAGGTCTTTACCTTGTTTCGGTATTGGGCATAATATTTGTGACTTCCATTCCGTCGGAATTTCTGACTTTCCCTGTAATATGTTGTTGTATATTTTTAGTCATGCATTGAAAGCTATTTCAGGCAAATGAGTTATTTGTGAATAGATGATGTTATCTGGGCCCGGTGCCGTATCTTTCTTCTTTTTCTCCTTAATGATTGAGTTTAATTCAGCTTTGGGGAATTCTCCGCATGTTGCAGGTTTTTATAATAGAATTTCGAGGTTTGGGCGGATCTTATTGAAGTGATTTGAGCCCTAAAGTTGTCTAAATTTTCTTCTACAAAGGAGGAATTCTGAGCGTGGGAGTTTTTGTTGTTTTTAAATATTTTTATTTTTTTCCTTCAGAAATGTTGGAGTCTCTGTTGAGAGTTTCGAAAAATTTGATAAAGCTGGCTTTCTTTTTGATTTTTAGAATTTTTTTTGTTTTGGCCACAGTTTTTTTCATGTTTATGTAGTTATCCATTGAGGGGTTATTTTTATATGACTTGATAGACAATTTCCTTTCATTTGTAGCTGTAGAGCATTCCTCATCCCACCATACGGGGGGGGGGACTCTCCTTTCTTCCAGAATTAGGGCAAGTCGTTTTATATTTTGGGACTGCCACCTCAGTGGATCTATTTATGCTATGAGTTAAGGATTGATAGTTGATGACTCCTTCCATAGGCATGTCATCCTCTATAGCCTAAGTATAAACCTCCCAGTTTGCCCTCCTAAAGTTGAAGACCCTATTTTTTGATGCATTTGTACTGGGTGAATTTATTTGATGATAACCAATTGTTATTTTATTTGGGAAGTGGTCGCTGTTTCCGCTATCTTCCAAGGTAGCCCATGTGCTATCTAAGGCTATGTCACTTGAACAGAAGGTTACGTCTGGAATGCTAATATTTTGACCTGGTAGTCCTACCCTGGTAGGCACCCCGTTATTTAAACAGATCATTTGTGCCTCATACATCTCTTCCAATAGAATTTCTCCATTGTGATCACTCATTGCTGAGCCCCATATCCGATTTTTAGAGTTTATATCTCCGCCTATTAAGACCTTGAAATTTGTTCCCGCGTTTGAAATGTCTTTAAGGAATGTTTTTTTCATTCTGTTGTTGGGTGGGTTGTATATATTAATTATAAGAAGATCTTTAATCATAACACCTATGATTTGAACCTTGTCTGGCTTATTCCTAAGATTAAGGCTAAATATTGATGCTTTGATGCTTTTTCTAACTAATGTAGCTATCCCTCGCTTACCTTCCTTTTTATCTTCTCTAAAGATGTTGAAACTTTTTACGTTCCATCTTGTTTCCGGTTTGAGGAGAGTTTCTTGTAGAATTATGATGTCTGGATCCTCCTCCTTGATTAAGAGGTCCAGGTTAGGGCCGTTACTGTTAACGCTCCTTATATTCCACTGAAGAATCCTGAGCTTTTCCCCCATGTCTTTTCTTGCCCAAAGAGACCTATCAAGATATACATGTTACCTATGGAAATGATTTCTATTGTAGCCCTGTTTTCAATTTTTTTTCCTTATATACAGATTATGACTCTATTTACATAAATTATTCACATTTTTATTATTATTATTATTATTTATTTTTTTTTTCAATTTATTTATATAATATATATAACTTTCTCTTATTAGTGATGGCAACTAACGGGGTTCCGCCTAGTGGCTAGAAGGTCTCCATATCCGAGTCCCCCAGGCCACCACTGCGGCTCCCGTTAGAGCCCTTCTCATCAGCTAATTCAAAATTCGGCGAGTTGGGGTTGCTGAGGTCTGCCGTGACCAGACCCCTTTTTATCAAATTACCTGTGATGCATTGTGAGAATTTAATTAGATCTTCATTTGAAATTGCTTCGCTATTCAAGTATTCATCCATTGAAATTTCAGAAGTTGCTGTTTCCTTATGATTATCTACCTGTTCACTTGCTGATAAAGGTTGGGTAGGAGGGAGGGGTGTGATACGATGCCTGGATGGCTGAGGAAAGGGGCAGGCCTCATGGGCCTCCTTATCATAGCCTGGTTGAGCATTTTCCATTTTCCTTTTTTTGATAACAGAACTGTTTTATATGAAGACTTGGGACTGGTGACTTCTGCTGCTATTTGTGATCTTCTACCTCCAACGCTTATTGTTTGGTTATAATTTTGATTTTGGTTTCTCAAGGGTGGGAAGTTGGTGTTGTCTATAAGTTGAATTTCTGATTGTTCAGCAGGTCTTGGGAGTTTTTTTGCTGCCTCATAGTATGACAGATTGTCACAGCATATCATTTCATTTATTTTGGTTTGACGTTTATACTCAGGACACTTACTTGTTTTTTTCCTGTCTGTGATCAAGTGGTCCCCACCACAGTAAAGGCATAGGTCCTCTTGGATTGCACAGTGTTCTTTTGGGTGATCGTTGTTTCCACACTTCTCACACCTTTCCTTGCCTCTACATACATTTTTGGAGTGGTTAAACCTGAAGCACTTGAAGCAAAGGATTACTGGTTTTATATAAGTTTTAACTTCCAGTTTGTTCCTGTAAACTGATATATACTTTGGGAAGGATTTTCCCTCAAAGGTGAAAATGAAAGTCCCTGTAGGGCCATACGATACCTCCCTTGTGTTCCTGTCCACTATTCTGCCTGTGAGTCTTCTAACTTCCAGAATCTTAATGTCCGTTGTAGTCTCTTCATTTGCTGTTCTCAATACTTCCTCTTCTGATATCTTTGTCCCCAATCCTCTCACGACACCCCTGCATGTCGTTAGGGATAGAGGTATAAATGTTTCATAGCCAAGGTTTTTAATGATGGTATTTCTGTTGAAGTCATTGGCTAAAGTTGGCGAGGAGAAAGTTATCCCCACTCTGTTTATCCCTTTTCTTTCTATCTGTTTAATGCCTTTACTCTGAACCATCACTTTGTATGGCCCCATGTTTCTACATGTATATTCTGCATTTAATTTTGGTTTAATTGGTTGTGGTTGCTTGGGTTGGTTGCTTGACTCGTTACTAGTGCTTGACCCACCGGGGTCGAATGGCCCCCCCGTGTCTTCCCCCATTTTCAGGTTAGGTTTTCAGCAAATTTGGGTTTTTGCTAATTTATTGGAAATATTCGAACCTGAGTTGCTTGCAGCTTATTTTGTTTGTTTGCCCCAGGAAATTTTACTTTTCTTTAGCGGATGGATGAATAATCACAAGATTTTCACAAGACGCCCTGATCGCGCTCAACGTGACGTCAGGTTTTTCGATAATCACGTGATGTGACGTGAATCAGTGAACACACTAAAGTAATATAACCTATATTCTTCAAATTATAATTTCACGGGAAATATGCATCACCTTTCATGGTCACGATATCTATGTAATAAATGTTTTAATTCTTTTCGTTTAGCTTTTCTTTCATCATTATTTGTTTTGTGCAACTTGTAATATTTCTGGAGGTTTGCAGATATCTCCTGATTTTTTCCTATCTTATGCACCAATTGCTACTATTCAATATTCATAGAATTATAATTTCCTCAATCATTGTATCTCCTAAGCAGATTTTCAACTTATATTATATTATGATCTCGATATAATCTCGAATATAATATAATATAATCAAATTACTGACTTGATTTGATTCAACTCATACTAACACTGATCTCTAATGATTATAATTTCAGGCACATTTGGCATTATACTGTTTTGCCAATAGCCAAGTCAGTACCGCTTTGAAGTTACTATACCGAGCAAGGTATCTAGCAGTTCTTGTCTGTAGTGAAAACCACCCAGAAGTAGCTTTGCTTGATGTAAGTATATTTCCATTTTTCAAACATTTTCGACAGATCTTTGAGAACTTATTGACGGGTGATAGACACAAGAGCAACAAGTTTCAAAAAAGATCTGTAGAATTAATTTCTAATTTGTCCTGTGATTTATGTACCAAGTTAGTTTTCGTCATTTTATGAACTACTAGTTCATAACGACTTGTCATATGCCGCAATGGTTACTAGATTTCAATGAGAATTGAAAATGAGCGCTTTCATAGTGACAATAGTGTCCATATTTCAGTTTCACAAAACTATAACGATTGAAATGTATTGCTAGTGGTGAAAATATGTAAAATTCCACTTGATAGTGAAGAATATTATTACCATGGAACCTTATATCCCTCAGTTGGCATCTCAAGATATAATCTTGGTCCCTGATAATATTCTTACTCCCTTGGTGTTTAATAGATATTCACCTAACCAGTTAGGGAACGTGTCATTTTATGTAACACAGTGTTACACAAAATACGTTTCCAAACGTGTTACGTACAATATTTCTTCTGATTTTAACTAAAAATTTTGCTTGAACAGAAATAATGACCAGTTCTTCACAGTTCTACCGATTATGTACAAAATATATATTGAGGAAGCAGCAAGAGATGCACTATTTTCTTCGTCCATCCCAAGATAATACACACTCTAGATATACTGTGATAGACACCGTTAATGTAAGAATGGGCAACGCTCAGGTGTGACGTAACAGAGCGGTGGGTAATCTGCTTTGAGCATCTATTATTATATATATTATTTGTCGGAATTAGCACAACAAAAGGCATCAACAGTGTATACATACCTATATATATCCGGGAAAAAATTAATTTATGAAAAGTGACATTTCATAAAATTTCAACAGATATGTCAAACTTTGTTCCCCGTCACAGAAAAATTGATTTTTTTCAAATACAACTTCACCTGACCGTGATTACCTTTTGAGCTCTCGCAACCGGTATGGCTTTGTATTTTCAACCACGCATATCACTTATATTTCATTTTGGAACACTGGCAGCTTGATTTGCGAACAAATTATGTATGAAAAACCGGGGTCATTTTCTAACATCAAAATATATACATAATGATACCCTCCAGAAGGCATACTGGGTGAAATCAGGTCCAAAATATGTCACTATCTGCCGGTCTAATTCAACTGGTATCGTATGGCATCATTCTTATCTCGTCAAATCGCGAAATTGAGTGCTAATTACCGCACTGGAAAGAGCTATTTTTCAATCATTTTGCTCAGAATAGTGATTGGCACAGGTGCCGTTCGATAAAATACAATGTTTATTACATACCTTTGAAACATAATAATAAGCAGTATGTCATAACAATATTCGTTGATTTACAGAAGGCATTTGACGTAGTATGGGATGTTAATGAATAAACGTAATCTAATAGGATTGAGAGGCAAAATCTCAGATCTTCTAGGAACATACTCACGGCAACAGTATGTATCATTTGATAAGGCCAATAGTGCATTAACTAATGTAACCTGTGGAGTACCACAAGGCTCAGTCCTGGGGCCATTGTTATATTCTCTTCATACAATAAATCTTGAAATGAGTTATTCATAAAAATCGGAAATCAAGTGATTCAAAGAGTTGAAAATACCAAATATCTAGGGCGTATCATAGATGATAAGTTAAATTGGCATGAACATGCAGATGATGCTACTTTCATACACCAGAATAAAGTTATTGATGATGTTCATGAATATTCCAATAACGCTGAAAAAATTGCAGACATATTTTTCTTCAATCAAACTAAAAATGAATGTGGAGAAAACTCAGAAAATAACTATAGCAACTAGGAAAAATACTACAAATATTGCACCAGTCAAATTATTAGGATTCCATATCGACAGCAAATTAACATGGAACGTTCATACCGAACATCTCGCGAAGAAACTAGCATCAAATCTATTTTTATTGAGGCGATTGAGGAGATCGGTATCACATGATTTGATGCGAATGGCATACTTTGCTTTCATAAATAGTCACTTGCAATATGGGATTCTGATTTGGGGACACAGCGCGAACATGCAAAACCTTTTTAGGCAACAAAAACAAGCCGTTAGAATTATATCAGGCTCAAGTCCCAGGGCACATTGTAAAGACCTATTTATTGAATATAATTTCCTTATATAGTTTGCCTAGTATGTACATTTATCAATGCCTGGTTTATGTGAAAGAGCACTTGACTGAATACAAACAAAATTCTGATATCCATTCTCACAATACAAGAAATAACAATAATATTGTCATTGCTACAAATAGACTTCAGAAATCTCAACAAGGTTTCAATTTCTATGGTTCGACTTTTTTCAACAAATTACCTGAAGATATGAAGAAATTAAATTTAATGCCCTTCAAATGTAAATTAAAAAAATATCTGATCAGAAAATGTTTCTACTCTATTCAGGAATTCACAGCCTTATTGACACATGACATGATATAGATTTTTAAAGCTTTCAGTTAACAATGCTGAAATGTGATATTTATAGAACTAAGCGTATATGTTTGTTTGACCAATGTGATCATGTTTATTGTTATTTATTCTATTTCCTTTATTTTATTTTTTTCATTTATCTATTTATTATCAAACGATTTTTTTTACATATATTGACGAGTGTAAACATTTTACAATGTAGTAACACTATAAATAAATACAAATACAAATACAAATACAAACCATATCTCAAATACAGTAGTTCCAATGATCGGTGCCCTCAATCGATGTAGTTTTTATCTGAATGCACAAAATAAGCTCATGATTTATAATTCATATTTTCAATCAGTCTTTCGCTATCTTATAACAACCTGGAGTGTAAGTGGGCAAACACTATTTAAAAAAGTACAGACTTCAAAATAAAGTGATGAAAATTTTATTTTGATACAACTATAGAACATATACAGAAATAATATACAATGATACGGGAATATTGCCATTAGATCGAATACTACAAATAGAACAAAGCAATTATATCTATAAATAAGATACAAAATAACCAACAAAAAAGTAATACCAATATTAGGGAAACCCATAATCGCAGGGATGAATTTTATTTACCAGATGTGAGAACAAATATAGCGCTGAATAACCCAATATGTAGGTGCTTGGAAGCATTCAATACACTGCCAGAAGCTATCAAAAACAAAAATAGGTATTCATCATTGAACCCTCATAGACCTCCATGTGAATCAGCGGAATTCCTAATGTTAGAATAGTGTTGAATTTTTTTGAAATGAAACTATATGTAGCTGATGTTTGTTGTTATTTATTTGTAATTGAACTTGCAGAACTTTTCATTATACTTTTTATATTTTTTGTTATGTGCCATTCCAATCCTATATAGTAAATGTTCTGTCACCAGCATGTGCCTGCTGATTTGGAACAAAAGCACTTGAAATCATATTGATTATTTCGGATTTTCCGTTATCAGATGACAGTCGAAATTTGCAGACAACTATAAGTAGATCATTAACATCAGAAAATAATCTTCTATATTATATCATAACTTGATGAAATTCCATGCCGAACATGTTTTGTAAATAATTATGGAAATCACCGACATCGGTTTTTGTTCGTTTCAGAGTAATATAAGCTTGATCCTCCATGCGGTGGGCGAATACGATTTGTCGTTGAGGTTCCTCGAAAAAGCCCTAGCGCTAAACATAAAATACTATGGCGGCAAATCGCTCAAGGTCGCCGTCAGCTACCACCTCGTATCGAGAACGCAAAGTTGCATGGGCAACTTCAGGTCGGCGCTGAATAACGAAAAGGAAGCTTACGCCATCTACAAACAACAGCTGGGGGAAACGCACGAAAAAACGAAGGAATCTTCGGAATGCCTGAAGCACCTCACCCAACAGGCGGTTGTCCTTCAGAAGAAAATGAATGAGATTTATACTGGTAAAAATGGGGCGTCGCTGCCGCCAATCCAGATCCAACCTCCATCCATGGTGTCTGTCTTGGACATGCTCAATGTTATAAATGGCATCTTGTTCGTCCAGATTAGGTAAACACCGATTCATTATTTATTATGATTTGAAAATACGCCCAGAAATTACCACATATCTTCCATAAATAATTACAAAAGGTGAATGATTGTACTTGACTTGACTTCTATTTATATTTCTCCATGACTTGATGAGCCTTCCATACAAGGGCGGATCCAGGGAACCGGTGTAGGGGGGGCGACTGACGAATGAATACTATTGTTATTATTGATATTATTATTTTTAATCTGGTTATTAACATAAACATTGTAATTATCATTGCAATTACATTCAATTAATTACTTATAATATTGCAAATTTTCTCGGATTTTCCATCTGCTATACTGTTATTTCACAGTATAAATGTTAACCTATGCTTGCGACTTTTCGCGTACTTCTCAATGACAGTATCAGCTGGTGACCTAACATAATAAATAATAGGTCGCGTGCACGATGATCGACCCTATAGGTAATATATTGAAACACAACCTCACTCTTCTGTAAAACATTAAAACACAATCTCACTCACGTTCATTTTGGCGTTTTCAATAATTTTTTATACGATGAATTGATGGATAAAAATTTCGAAAAATCATTTCAAGGTATTCTAGAGCCATATATTTCGAGATTTATCTTTTCTAGAAATGAGGCTCTAATTGTTCATTCCAAATATTAGTTTACATTCATCATTGTACGAAGTTATATTATCCTTTGAAGTTTGACTGATGATAGGCTAAAAAAAATGCCCCGTCTGTTTGTAACATAATCATGTTTTTCTCTGTGACGGCTCGTGCTCTTTTCAACAGGGGAGGCTGAATGGGAAGTGTGAATGTGAAACTCTACGAAAAAATCTACTGTAGAAGTCCATGTTATCTCAAAGTGGAGTGAAGTAGTTAAAATATAATAAAAACTCTCCAAGTCGTCTCCACAACGTTTAATTCGAAATTCAAGAAGGGGGGGGGCATGTTTCGGACCCAAAAGGTATCCATCATCAGCCGGAAATAAATCATTGTGGAGAAGAAAAAGGCAAAACATGGTTATAATTTGCATGGTAAAACGGTTATTATAACATGTTTATAGTTTTAAATAAAATTTAAAATGAAGTAAACATGTATCATTATTTAAATTGAGGCCCTGTACCCCAGATATTTGCTCAGCGACATGTTCTAAAAATCGTTTTACCATGCTAATTATAACCATGTTTTTGCCTTTTTCTTCTCCACAATAATTTCTTTCTGGCTGATGATGGATACCTTTTGGGTCCGAAACATGCCCCCCCTTCTTGAATTTGGAATTAAACGTTGTGGAGACGACTTGGAGACTTTTTATTATATTTTATCTACGACAAAAAAAACTACTCAGCCAATTAATTTACCAATCTGCAGCGCAGCCACATGATAAGCATTACTAATGGTGTAAGATTTTGACTAATTCTTTTTCGATAGATATCGTATTAATATCATTCAAACGACCATCTAACATTGTATTCCGCATGTAAATTTTGATTCTTCTTCTGAGTCGAAAATGATCTCTCTCCACTGAAGCCGATGTAACAGGAATCGTGACTGTCAAAATAATTTATGTAGGTAGAACTTGCTCTATCATTATTAATTATGAATAGTTCAGCTAGCGTTGAGAGAGAAAAGAATGTTCTCAGTGTCCAACATAAAATAATGAAAATTGTATGTTGGCAACACTGGAAATGAGAAGAAATGGAGAAGACCATGCTTACCTTTTTTATATTGAGGTTAATATGATCTAAATTTTCTACCATTTCCAATGTCACCAACATGAAATTCCCATTATTTTACGTTGGAACACTGAAGACAAGGGCAGATGGGGAAGACATTTTTCTCTCTCTCAACGCTATAGCTGCTAAACTGCTTTATTTGATCATGTCCCTATGCTCTCGCTCTCACCTGAAATATTTTTATCCGAATATACAACATATACCTAATTCATTTTTCAAAGCAGTGTTCCCTGCAGACCTGAAATGAAGCATATAGAGACAGGGCGCAATAAATAATCGGGAAACAGATTACAGAAAATAGGGCGGAAGCATCACTAACGGCCCCAACAGTAAATGCCTTCACAGAATTTTTTTCGATTAATCACTTTGAAAAAAAAAAGAATCAATTCTCACCACAAGAATTATTTGTTGAGAGATTTGTTGTATAACATGCTATTGCACTGTGCTTCATTTGAGGTCAGATTGAATTCGTGCCGAGCGCACGATTTTCATTGGTCATAGGCGGCTTTCCGTTGGATGTTGCCAGAACGCAAAATTTGTATTCTATTCTGAATACTTTTAATATGTAAATTGCTGCTAAAATCTCATATTCTGCTTGATATCAGGAAATAAAACTGATAAAACGAACGCAAGTTAGCTATTTAGGTGTATATTTTGTACAATTATATTGAACTATTCGATGTATGGATATTCTTGAGGAGGCACAGCCTCTGTTACCTCCTCAAAGGAGCCACTACTGGTTTTTCTATTAAATGTTGCAAATTTTAGTGTAATAAATGCATTATTGATTTTCAACAACCTGTATCTTGATGTTGACGATGCATGAAATCTGAAGTCTTCAGATTTCAATCAATTCTGAGCATATTTTGGTCTATATACACCGTGTCCCAGCTAAAATGTCCCCCCCCCCTGTAAAAAATCAACCGCGCGATCGAATGACTTGAAATTTGGTCACTCAGTATATTTGATGATGCTCACTCGAAATATGCTATTGAATAAATCGTAGGTATACAGGGTCACACCGAAGTGCACCTCAAGAAGAAGTGTTTGAATGATGGAACCGGAAAAAATATAGACCTGTAAATACTTATTTGTTATGTCGAATTATTTTTCAATCAGAAATGGTTCTGACTATTTATATCAAGAGATATATTTACTTGATATTTCTGGAATGTAGACGAAGTGCGAGAGCTGCTGCAAAGTTATATCAAAGAAGATATCCTGATCGACGACATCATCCCCCAATCACATTTTGGTGCATTTCTCGGAATTTTGAGGAAAGGAATACATTCAGTCCTTGAAAAAGGGACAGGAGGCGATCTGTAAGAACTGAAAATAATGAAATTAATATTTTGGCATTTCTAAATGCCCACCCTCATGCGTCCTCTCGGCAACTATGCAAGGAATCCGGAATATCAAAATCTCTCGCATTTCTCGCATAACAAAATGCTACACATTACATCCATTCAAACCAAGAATGGTACTAGAACTGCTTCCTGGGGATTATGATAGAAGAGTCCGATTCTGCAATTGGATCACAGGTAAATGCAATGCTGACAGGCTGTTTTATCGGAATATTCTATGGACAGACGAAGCGAAATTCTCTAGTAATGGAACGGTGTACACTAAAATGCATCATTATGCATACGAAAATCCACGTTGGATACAAGTTGACCATTCTCAGAATGTATGGTCTATAAACGTTTGGATGGGTATAATCGGAGATCGGCTATTAGGTCCATATTTTTTCAAAGAAAACTTAGATAGTCAAAGATACCTACATTTCCTACTGAACGAATTAGAGGAATATTTGGAAGAGTTGCCTGTCAATATGTATGCCGAAATATTCTTCCAACAAGTAGGGTGTCCTGCACATAACTACAGACCCGTAAAGGATTATCTTCGCCATCGGTTTGGAGAAAATCTAATAACCACCAATTGTCTCGATGGTGATAGCAACTGGTCAGCTCGGTCGCCAGACCTCACCCCACTTGATTTTTATTTGTGGGGCTGCTTGAAACAACAGGTTTATGAGTCGCCAATTGTGAAAATGGAAGAAATGAAAGAGAAAATCACAACTTTATGCGCACAAATTGATCGCAACGTGATACATAGGGTCACAATGAACGTTATCAAAAGAGCTAGGAAATGTTTGCAACAGATTGGACGACATATTGAACAGTTGAGGTTTTAATTATTTTCTTTTCATTCGATTTCAATCGTGTTATATTAATTAATTCTGATAATTGAATGTTTGTCATATCTTCGTAGTCCTTTGAAAAAATCTTGAATATGGAATAATATACTGGGTGTCCCTATTCAAATAGGAAAGTTTAGGTGCACCTCAGTGTGACCCTGTATACCTACGATTTATTCAATAGCATATTTCGAGTGAGCATCATCAACTATACTGGGTGACCAAATTTCAATTCATTCGATCGCGCGGTTGATTTATTACAAGGGGGACATTTTAGCTGGGACACGGTCTATACTCAATGAAATTCGGAACAACTTCAAGAAGTAATCTTCAACTCAACATGAAATCTGTTTCAGCCAAGAGGACATTGAAAATTTCAAAGCTGAAATCGAGAAGAAACAAATCGAAGAATCTGAGGCGTCGGTGGAGAAACCGCCCCCCGAAATAACCAATTTATAGCTCATATCTTTAGTAGATCTTGAAAGTTAGTCTGTGAGGAAGGTAGAAAAATTGAGTAGTTTTTTCAAGTTGTTTTCGTAAATTATTGGCAACATGCATTTTTCAGCTAGTCTTATTATTAATATTATGAAGTAAGGCTTGAGAACTTTCATAGAGGAAGGATATCAGAATTCGACTCAGTTAGATATACTTTGCAGCTATGAAATACCTCGTTTTTGATTGAAATTGGGTTCTTGGAATAATTGGAATTTATTATATTAATAAATTTAAAAATTGTGGGATATTTGAAGATGTCTTCGCAAATAGTGCATTCCTTTCATAGTTGACTAATTCAAATGAAAACTGAAAGTATAGAAAGTTTTCAAACTCAATTGAAGTTATTCTAGAATACAAATTTTCACACCACTCAAATTCATGGATCATTGCTAAATAAATATTCATAAAATTACGAAAAGACGCTTTTGATATCCCTAAACCATTTACTGCTGGATACCTACTAATCATGAAATTTTATATTGAACCAATGAAGTAGGAAAGTTCTGATATGTTCTTGCTGAATCATTGTCTTTTGCCGGATTTACGGTGAGCATGTTTTGTCATTTTCTTTATCATCGTCTGTTCGGCTTTTTAAAAGGCATATTTTCACAGAAAAATATCAGTTTTAAGAGTCTGAAAAACTTAACACTCTAATAACATTGTTGCAATAATTCACATACCAAATTTTGCATGTTGCTGTTATAGAAGTACTATATTTTATATTTTTTTGATATATTCAAAGTTTTTTGTATAATAACAGTTGAAATTTTTGTAATCAAAAATTTTTGTTATTGAATAAAGTTGGTTACATAATTTGTCCTGGAATTTTTCCTTTTTGCTACCAAATGGAAGAAAATCGGTATCTACCAAGGCACATTTTGCAATCCCGATAAATATACAGAATGGAAATGAAATTGGCAGTTTTCAAAATGTTCCCCAATGAGTGTGACTGCTAGTTGAAATAACCTAAGTGAGAACACTTCTATATGGTATTTAGTACACCTCATGTTCTTGGTAGTTGAGTGGATATGGCTAGGTTTGAAAGTCCCCCGTATAGATTTGCCTTTTTTACTTGCCAATCGTCATTTGCGCAAATATGTGTTGATGATACCAAACATACAAAATTCCGTGAAGGATTTTAATTAGAGACAACTGTAATGAACATGGAATAAACAAATATTTATAAGTAGCTATAAAGATAATTCACATACCTAACCATATCAATTAATTTCAGAGCATCAGGAATGAATTTCTGATCATTAGCTACAAATCTACCGCACTATATATTTCTATTAAATTCTGTACAATTATGTCATGTTCTTCAATGAATATGGTCCTCCTTTTTTCTACTCACCGTTGTTTATTTCTGTTAAATGCAGTCACTGTACGATAGAAAATAAGCGTACGCCACCTATCGGAGTTCTTGGAAGCTGTCAAAGCGGCATGTTTACTTTGTTTTCATTAGTTCACTTTTGTTTGTGCTTATTGGTCATATCATCAGAACAAACCGCTCAGAAGTGTTCAAGTTGTTGTCGTTAGGTGAGGTGACGTGTTATTTTCTATCGCGAATTTTGTCCCGATTCTTCAATTATTATCAATTGTTTTATGCCGAATGTACGCCTCTCCTCCAATAGGCGACTGAGATTAAGATTGTAGCGCCAGAACGGCGAATGTCGGTACTACTCTGTGGGCCGTTGGCGGATTGTTTTCATTGTTTGGTAATGGTGTTTATGTTCATTTCGTTTTGAGTTTTCAAACGTTCAGGTTTGTTATTTGTCTATTTTCGAACTTTGGATTTTCCAGTGGCCTATTGTGTTTCGATTGAGGACTATATTATCTCTGTTCAACATTAGATAACCTACCTACCTCTAGTTGAACTTCATATATACCAACATACATGAGCTGTGAGTTTTTATCATTATCGAACAAGAATTCTTATGAAAACCTGTGAGGGATGTTGATTTCCAATTCGAATATATGGCTGGGATATTCCCCTGATAGCATGATATTTTTAAAAGAAAATCCAGCATACTTTTTAGGAACAAAATGTTCACAATCTTGAAGTTATGAATCCACACCTTTCTCCTATATATATAGTTTCAAATACAAATTTGGACTGTACTGATTTTGGAAAGGTATGAAAGCCATACTCGGGATTTTTTTGCTCAAGATGAACAATGAGGTACACAACAATAATGATTCATGTTTTTAAACGTTTATAGAAGTTCTCAAACAAAATTATAGACAATTCAAACACAACTACTTCTCATACACAACACACGCAAACTAATGTAAACGAAGCAATCAATGGCCCATACGTTAGTTATATTAGACAACGGTAGAGGGCGTACTCCTTAGCATGATTCGCCTATCACCATTATTATTGGACACCACCCAAATTTGATTTCTAATATTGTCTGCACTATTTTTATGGGTATATCTGAATCAGAGATTAGTCAACCATGATCTGAATTATATCCTTATGGTTTATTTTTATTTGAGTGTGTTAATCAACTTGAATATGTTAATTCTCAATTTGAAATTGATTTGTCTCCATTTGAACATGAAAGGGTAGTTATGTAATTTTTTTTTTAGTTTTGATGAGAATTTTCCCTTGAACTGAATTAATGACCAGTTCTACCAATTATGTACAAAATTGAGTACCTAAGCAAGTTGACTTCGCCCATCACTTTGAAATAATAATAATATGGCCACAAATCAGCCACGACATCCACGGAAAAAACTTGTTTGACACCTTCATTAGTGGAAAATGGCTGATTCAGGTTCAGATTTTCATTCATTCATGTTGAAATGAAAATTTCATCACCAGTTATGTTATAGTTTACTTTACGCAACTGGAAGTGTCGAATTACAAGTCAAAATAGGAAAAAAACACTAGATATTTTTATTGCAGTTATCTGTTTATGTAGGTTTTTCCGTCCATATGCGTATCCATACGATGGGGCAAGGGATTTGTCCTTCTATACAGGGTGATTCAAAATTCGATGCAAATATTTCAAGGACATATTGTTGAAATCAAAATAAGACTTTCTAAAAATAAACATGTCCGAAAATGCATTTTTTTATATAACTTGGAAACAACTAATCGTTTGCCAGCAAATGGCAACCAAGGAATGGGTATTTTCACAATATCAAACTAACAAAACATCAATTAAACAATCAGTAATGTCACAAAAATATTGAAAAAATTTCTTCCCCTTGCTGCCATACAATATTCTTCTTTGCATAGACTGTGGAAGATGTTCTAAAATCTCAGGAGTGTTTAGTATGGGCCAGAGATTAGTCAGCCACAGAAAGACTACTCTCTAGCAAAATACCCTCTAAATGCAACTGTTATTATTTAATACATAAAAAAATTTTTGAATCTGGATTAAAAGGGATCCTGGGTAAAAGCACAAATGGAGAATCAATATAACATTTTTGTGAGGAGTGCTGTTTTTGTTTGTTTAATAAAAATATAAAAACAGAATTACATATAAAAGAACATTTTGTTTGAGAAAAAAATGTGCTTTTGTGCTTCTTTTGTCAGTGTTTATTACTAATATTACCTATTTTCAACATTATTATGGATTGTTTGAATAGGGTCTGAGGTGATTTTAAAAAAGTTCAAAATGCCTCCATTTTCTCTTCTACTCTCTTTGAATTTTTTAGTACCAACTGATTTTGATTTATTCAAGGACTGTGATGGATTATTCAATTGCAGATGTATTTGGAGGGCTGTGTGATAATCATCATGATTTGCCACATCTTCCAATTTGATTCTCTTATTACATTCTTCACAGTAATTGCTATTGTCTTCATTCAATTCCTCAAACTTTTTGAATAAGGTCAATACTGATGGAGTTTCATTGGCTTTTCTTTTCTTTTGACTTGTTGCCTGAAACTCTTTTTTATTAATATCATCAGATACTACTTGTTGAATACTCTGAATTTTCTCACTATTTTTTGTATTATTTGCCTGATTGCCTTGTAGAGATGAAATATCTTCATCAACTTTGGAAGTAAAGGGGCAATCTAAACTGGTCTCATTGCATTTTGAAAAAATTTCAATATCATCAACAGTTTTTTCAGATTTCTTAGGATTATTGTCACTTCTAGATGCTGGAAGAACATCTGCCTCATCAATATGATATCCAAATTTTGATTTTGTATTTTTTTCAAAATAATTATTGAAGAAAGATGTAGAAACCCCATTAGATTTATTGTCAATGTCTATGCTTTGATGTGAATATGCTTGATTATTGATATCATTATCTTGTACTGTAGATGATAATGTATCATTATCTATATCCATATCATTGTTACTATCAATGCTATTGAATTTTTCAATGGTATTATCAAGAAGACCATCAGTTTTTTCACTTTTTCTTGAATATTCTGTGCTGATATTATTGCATAGCTGGGAATGCTGGGATGGGGAAGTGTTTTTATGTCCTAAGGAATTACTTTTCTGAGGACTAGTTAGCTCAAACTTATGGTCACTAATTTTTTTCAAAAATGATTTGATATCTGAATTATTTTTTATGTTTTGAAAATTTCCAGCACTCAGGCCTAGGAAAGTTATATTATTATAATTACCATTTGATTTTCTACAATTCTTATTAACAATTTGTAAAAAATCTCTTGCTATTTTGGATTGTTCATAAGAATTCAAATTAAGTGTTTTAGAACTACTGACAAGTTTTTCATCAATTGTTTGTGTTAAACTAAAAACTAATTGTTTTGCCTTCCTATTGTTCTCCTCCATATCTCTTTCTAGCCTCTCAGAAACTTCAGTAGCTATTTCATTGATCCAACGTTCAACACTTCCAGGAGATACTAGACAATTTTTACCAGGGAATCTTTTACAACAACCTATTGAGTTTGATACCACTCTAGTTTTAACTGGTTCTAAATCTATGCCTCTTGCAATATTGTATAGCCATTTCCTATAAAATTGGTTAAACTGAAAAATTATTTGAAAAAAAGGTTAGTAAAATCACCTTACCCTGATTTCTCATCAAACTTCCTCACAAGCTCTTTCTCACTAAACTTTGTCACTTCACCTACAAAGGAAATGTTTAACTCTTCAGCTATTGTTTTTCCAAATTTTCCACCAAGTCTCTTAATTTTCTGCATTGGTAATTTCTTGAATAAATTAGGGACAGACTCTTGTGGGAAAATAGTTTGAGCATTTGGTTTGTGTAAGCCACTAGCTAGTTTTGCCAACATTTTATTGTGGGCTATGCCAGCAGAACATTTGTAACCTACAAATAACATACTTTAGGAAATGCCACCTTTCTATGCAAATTTATTGGTATTGACCTGTTTTCACTAATATTTCAGCCCTGATTTCTTCTGAAATGAGAGCACCCATTGCAAGCCTAACATTTCCTTCAGAGAATTCTGAACTTGAATCAGAGTCACTACATAAATTATCTAAATAATCTTCAATTTTATATCCTACTACATGTGTCCTACACATTTTTTCATTGGAGTTGATTTGAACAAAACCATCATGCAACCTTTTGGTAACAGCTTCTGTGATATCCAAATAGGCCTCATCAACAGATGCCTTTTCAATGATTGTAGTGTATTTCTGCAAAACATCAAAAACCTCTTTGCCAGCTTCTCTGTACCTGAATTGAAAGTGAAGTTATTTTTTAAGTGTTCATAAAATTACATTCAATTTTACTACTTTGTTAAATCAGCTCGCCCACGAACTTCATTTACAGTTGCAAACAATATCTCAGGACACTTCTCTTTAGCCTCATAACACCATAAGCCTTTTGTAACACCTTTAGCCCTAGCTAAGTAGTTAGCAGCTATTATCCTGAAAGTAGTGCCGATTTGAATTTAGCAAGAACCAGTCGAATCATGAACTTGCTTTGCTTACCCTCCTTCTCTCCATGTATTGTATTGAACCACTGCAACAGGTTTTTCTCGCAAATTTGGATTCAGCTTTTCCTCTACTTGGCAATAGAAACAATCAATATCTACGAGAAGGATCACCTTGGTTATATTATTTGCCATTAATTGTATTGGATATTCCCTATTGTTATTTTGTTGAGTTATGAATCTAGTGAAATCGTTCGGCAGAAGGGAACTGTAGAGTCGTCTGGTCGTCTGGTATAGCGTTTTTGTATAAAAGATAGTCTGATGACTTTTCCGACTTTTTTTATTAATTGAAGTCGCTGTCAGTCCTTGTCGTCTCGACATATACAGAGTATGACCTAACGAATATCATATACAGTACGTGACGACGTAACATTCTTCCCCCCAAATAACATAATCCCTCATTTAACAGAAAGCAATGAAATACAATGATAATTGATAATCAAATTCACAATAATAAAATCAAGTCAATCTTCCATAGGTATTCTCCCCAGTTTGGTAACTGGTCGTTTGAATACGCCATTTTTCGTCCTCACTTCAACCACTCTTATTCTTCCATCTGCACCTGGAAACAGTTTCTCAACTCTGCCTAAAGTCCAATCGTTTCTCTTTTGAAGCGTCTCGTTCAGAATAACTACAATGTCATTGACTTTTATTGGTTGGTTATCGTCCGTCCATCGACTTCTTTTTGTAAGACTCGGTATATATTCTTTCATCCACCTCCTCCAGTAATCGGTGGTTATTTGTTGACCTCTTCGCCATTGTTTTCTGAGATCATGCTGGCCATCTATATCATCCAAATCTCGAGGACCATTAGAAGTTCCAATTAAAAAATGATTCGGCGTCAGAGCCTCAAAATCATTGGGATCGGATGATACTTTTGTCAGAGGTCTTGAATTGACCATGAATTCGACTTCGGCAAAAATTGTCAATAATAGTTCATCTTTTAGTTGTTGATTTCTCAAAATAGCGTTGAAAGATGTTTTTACGTTTCTTATTAACCTCTCCCAGGCCCCACCCATGTGTGGACTCCCTGGAGGTATAAATTTCCAGTCTATTCCTCTGTTTGTCATGTCACTGTTTATCTTCTTTCTGTCTAGCTCCTTGATTGCTTTTCTCAACTCTTCAGATGCTCCTCGTAGGTTAGTTCCGTTGTCTGATAGAATTTGCTGTGGCTGTCCTCTTCTGGCGATCATTCTCTTCAGGGCCATAATGGCTGAATCTGCTGTAAGTGTATGAGCTACTTCTAGGTGAATCGCCCTGGTCGTTAAACATGTAAAAATAACACCCCATCTTTTCGCTTTGCCTCTGCCTACTGTAACTAGAAATGGTCCAAAATAGTCTATACCTGTGTAGGTAAAAGGTCTCACGTTCGGTGTTAGTCTGGCAATCGGAAGTTGTCCCATAAGAGGTACTAGAGGTTTTGATTTTTCTAATCGACATCGTTGGCATTTCGAAAAAGTAAATTTAACAGCTGCCCTGCCATGTATGATCCAATATTTCTGTCTTGCTTCGTTAAATACCAGTTCTACTCCCTGATGAGCATATTTCTCATGAATGCTTTTGAGAAATAAGTACGTATACCTGTGTTTGTTAGGTAAGATTGCTGGTCGTTTTGCTGTATCACTGATAGAAGTGGCTAAGTCGGTTCTTCCCATCATTATTATGGTTCCTTGTGGACTCATCGTTGGAGAAAGATTTTTCAGTCGGCTTTGTTTGGGCAATTGTTTATTATTCATGAGAATTTCATATTCCTCTGGAAAACTTTCTTTTTGACACTCTTGAAGCCATAATAATTCAGCGTATTTAATATCTTCTGCTGTAATTTCCCTGTTGCATGAATCTTGACGAATTTTCCCAAACCATATTTTCGCAATTTTGATTGTCCACGCTGTAACTCGTAGAAGTTTTTTGAAGTCCGAAAATCTGTCTATGTCTGGCAAAATAGTATTTCTCTCGAATTTTGCTGTCGATAACATGATAATTTCTTTGTCGTTGCAGATCGTATTTCCTAATATATCTTTCCTTGGCCATGTTGATTCATCTCTTGTTGATAGGAACTTGGGTCCAGAGAACCAGTCATGAAAAGTCACCGTATTGCTCCCATCTTCATTGTAGCTCCGGGTTACGACGTCTGCTCCATTCATTTTCGATGGAACCCATTGCCAGTCAGAAGTATCGGTCAGTTCTAGTATTTCGCCAATCCGATGAGCTTCAAATTGTCCTAATCGTTTGAAGTCTCCATTGATCCAATACAGAACTGTCGTCGAATCAGACCAGTAAAAAATCTTGTCTATTTTCACATTCAATTCAATTTTGATCGTTCTCCCTAGTCGACTACCTAATAGGGCTGCTTGCAATTCTAGTCGGGGAATGGAGATAGGTTTAGTTGGTGCTACCCGTGCTTTTCCAGAAACTAAGACCACGTCAATGTTGTCGTCGGACACAACTCGCAAGTAAGCTACGGCTGCAAAGCTTTGTTTACTGGCATCACAGAATATGTGAAGATCAATTCTGTTCGCTTTCGGAATATTTCTGGAATAGCATCGTGAGACGGTGATATTGTTGATTTTCTTAAGATCTGAAAGCCATGCCGTCCACTTCTTGTGCGTTTCTTCGTCGATGGAGTCGTCCCAGCCGATTCCAGTCCTCCAGACGTCTTGAATCAACATTCTTCCTCTTATTGTGAAGTTTATCAAGAGGCCTAGCGGATCAAAAACTGCCATCACTATTTTCAAAAGATGTCTTTTTGTAGGACGTATACTAGGATCTTCCAAAGGCACATTTTTTATTCTGAAGACGAAGGTATCTTCCGAAGAATCCCAGTACATTCCTAGTACTCGATGTACTGATTTGTCGCAGTCTAGTATCAAGTCTTTACTGATACTATCCTCAAATGTCATCATTTTAGTCAGTTCTTTGGAGTTTGTAGACCAGTTAACGAGTTCAAACCCACCTTTCCTCATAGTTTCATAAACTTTCGAAATTATTTCGAAGGCTTCATAGGGATTGTCTGCTGAGTCCAAATAGTCATCTACATAGTGATTTTTCGTGATTGCGTAAATTATTCGTTCTTCGTTTCCCATTTCTCTAGCGTTTAGGTTTTTGACGAACTGGGCACATGCAGGCGAGCAGGTGGCCCCAAACGTCATGACCTGCATTCGGTAGATATCTGGTGGTTTACTGGGTTCATCTCTCCACAGAAAACTCTGAGCGCTTTGATCTTCATGTCTTATCCTCACTTGATGAAACATTTCTCTTACATCACTGGTGAATGCAACTCGTCTCTGCCTAAATCTCAATAAAACTGATAATAGGGGTTCTAATAAATCTGGACCTGAGAATAGATTGTCATTTAGGCTTGTACCACCTGATTTTGATGCAGCATCGAAGACTAGGCGTAGTTTATCAGGCTTATTCGAGTTGATGACTCCAAAGTGAGGTAAAAACCATGTTCTTGAGTCTTGTCTTGTGGCTTCATCATGTGTCGATTTTCGAATATATCCTTTCTCGAGGTACTTTTGAATATTTTCGTGATATTTCTGTTTGAAATGGTCGTCCTTTGTCATCTGATTTTCAACATGTTGAAGTCTTCTCAATGCCGTCGATTTATTGCTAGGCAAGGAGATGTCGGTTGATTTCCATAAAAGTCCGATTTCGTATCGATTGTCACTGATTCGTTTGGCAGTTTTTTCCATTATCAGTAGAGCTGCTTCGGAAGTCTTCTCTTTATTGCATTTTGCAGTATCAGATACTCCGAAGGCGTCAACTGTGAATGAGTGTTTCACTAGTTGATGAAGAGCATTGTCTGATGTGTCGTTTTCGCAAATATGCAATACATGGGTTCTGTTATGAATGTCGGTTTCTGTTCTTCCATGAAGTATCCACCCTAGGTTTGTTTTCGTGGCAATTGGAAGATCTTCAGTACCTTGGGCTATTTTTCTCGGGACAGTGAGGTTGATGTTGTCCTGCCCAATGAGAATCATAGGTGGATTATTGATGTCGGCGATAGGAAGACCATTCAAATGATGATAATGTTTCCAGTCATCAAAACATATCTCTTGTTTTGGCAGCGACAAATCTCTCACTGTATGGACATTTTTCATTCGGTAGATTTTAGCTCCGTCGTAGTCCCCAGAAATGTCTATGTCAAAACATTCCGAGTCTTCATGGCTTGAGACAATATCATTAGTCCACTGAACACTCAGTCTATGCTTGGTTCCTTTGATTTGAAGCTGTCGAGCTATCGATTCATCAACCAGTGTCACAGTTGATGCCTCGTCGCAAATAGCTACAGTCTGGACCGAACAACCGTTAGTACCATACAGGGTGACGTTTACCATTCTCAATAAAATATTATTTGCTCCGTGTCCCGTCGCAAGAACATTTTCGTTCCTACTGGTTGATGGAATTTCTGGATCCTGTCTTCTGTTCGATGAAGTTGTCTGGATTTCGTCTTTGTGTAGAAGTTTATGATGTGGTCTTCTGCAGTTATTAACTCCACAGGGTTTTCTTAGTCGGCATTTGGATGTCTGGTGGTTGTTTTTCAGGCATGAAAAACATAGTTTATTTTTGGTAACAATTTCCCACCTCTTCTCGATGTCATCGGACTTGAAATTTTCACATTCCAAGATCTTGTGACCTATTTTTGTACAGTACTGGCAGATTTCTTCATCTTTGGTAGAAGTCAATACCAAAGATTTTTCATATCTCCGATTTGTCGTTTGATTTTGTCTATATGTATTTTTCGGTGTGAATGATGAGTTGTGTTGATTTTTCATGGGTGAAGTGACAAAACAAGCTGCGTCTGCTATGCAGGATAACCATTTAGAAAAATCTTCCAGGTTCATGAATCCTTTCTTGCAAATTTCCTCGCCCCATCGAAGTTTCAAGGTGTTTGGCAATTTATGCACTAGGTCTCTCAAAAGTTGTGGATTCTGCAAGTGAGCGTTATATCTCAAAGATTTGATAGTGGAGACGAGACCGTTCACGTGGTTGGAGATATTAATCAGTCCTTCCATGTCATATTCCCGAACTAGTGCAGTATTTCTGGTCTTTTCGAGAAGGGTGTCAATAATTTGATCAGGGCGTCCGAATCTCATTTCCAAAGACCTGATTACTTGGTTCAAATTTTCTGGACACATTAACATACTCTCTACAGAGCGTCTTGCCTCACCTCTCAAGCACTTGTGAAGTTTTATCATCGATTCTT